ATAGATGCCAAGAGGTGGTGTCACTAGGTCTTTTGAAGAAGAAAACACACACCAGGATGTGAAAGTGAAGCGACCAAAAAAAAAAAAATCACATCTTTTGTTTCCTTCTTTTTGTTTTGGGGCCACACAGGATTTCAAGATTTCAGCTTTTTTTTTTTCCAATTATGTCATTCTGGGGCCAGCAGTGCTCAGGGCTTACTTCAGTGGTGCCAGGGATTGGAGCCAGGTTGGCTGCGAGGCAAGTGCCTTACCCACTCTACTCTGTCCAGCGTCATTTTTGTTGTATGTGTGAGAAGTTTTGTGTCACACCTGGCTATGCTCAGGGCTGACTTTCGGCTCTGCAATCAAGGATAACTTCTGGCAGTGCTGGGGGACCCCAGAGGTACGGAAGTTTGAACCTGGGTTAGCTACATGCAAGGCAAGTGTGTCCCCTATTGTACTATCTCTCCGGCCCAGAACCAGGCACTTTGAAGTCATCCTAAAGTCACTGAATTAACTAACCATGGAGCTTGTTAATTTTGTTTGCTTATGTTTTGGGACCACACCCGGCCATGCTCAGGGCTTTCTTCTGGCTCTGGGCCCAGGGATCCTTTGTGGTGGGTCTCAGGAGTCCATATGGGGTGCTGGGGATGGAACCTGCGTCAGCCACATGCCAGGCAAGTGTCCGAGCGGCTCCACTATCTCTCCAGTTCCAGCCACTTCTCAATTGCTTTCATTTTTTTAACGATAATATGAAATGGCACAGTTCTCATAGCTTAAGTAATTAAGTTTGGTTTTCTGTTATTCGCCGCTGGAGGCTTTCTGATACACGTCTCCACCAGGCTTTACTGGTAAAAATACAAAAGGCCTGAAATAACAAGCATTCCAAATTCTTGCCATTGCTGAAAAAGTGAAACAATATCTTGTGATTGCTTATCCAACAACTGTTCTTGGGGCCGGAGCAATAGGGCAGTGGATAGGGTGTTGGCTTTGTATGTGACTGACCTGAGTTTGACCCCCTCCAGCCCCTATAATGGCCCCCCAAGCCCACCAGAAGTGATCCCCGAGCATAGAGCCAGGAGTTAGCCCTGAATACTGCCAGGTGTGGCCCCAAAATCAAAACAAACCCCCCCAAAACCCATCAGTCTCCCTTTTCCTCCTTAACAGAAGAGTCCCGGGGCTGGAACAATAGTACAGTGGGAAGGGTATTTGCATTGCACAAGGCTGACCAGGATTTGATTCCCGGTATCCCATATGGTTCTCCGAGCACTGTCAGAAATAATTCCTGAGTGCAGAGCCAGGAGTAACCAACCCCCTGAGCACTGCTGGATATGACCCAAAAAGCAAAAAAAAAAGAAAAAGAACCCTGAACATTTTGGGTGTGGGCGAGGGGATCTGCACAGGGGCTCTTCCTGGCACCGTGACCCTGGGTCATGACTGTAGCTCTAAGCACACCAAGCCCCATTCTAGCTCTCCAGCTCAAGAACCCTGAATTTCATCAGGGCTTTCTAGAACTGAAGATTGTCACCTGCCTTCTCGGCATATAACTATGGCCATGTACCTACCTGAGTTCAGCTCATTGAGCTAAGAGATGCCATGTGGTATGAAGGGCTGACTTAGCTGGAAATATTATTTATTTTTACCTTCAACTTTTCACCATTTTATAGGTTCCAGTTGCCTCCTTAAATCACACACTGACTTTGAGGATAGAGGTCAAGAATGAGGATGGTCTAGAAGGGTTATTCAGGGATTACTCCTGGTGGTCTCAGGGGACTGTATAGGGTGTCAGGTAGGCCGCATGCAGGGAAAGTGCAATGCCCACTGAGTCAAGTGCTCTGGCCCCAAACCACCTTATCTGCTGTTCTATCTTCCCAGCTTCTCATGTCACTTCTTTTTTTTTCTTTTTGGGCCACAACCAACGATGCTCAGGGGTTCCTCCCGGCTCTGCACTCAGGAATTACTCCTGGAGGTGCTCGGGGGACCATATGGGATGCCAGGGATCGTACCCATGTGAGCCGTGTGCAAGGCAAACACTCTACCTGCTGTGCTATCTCTCCAGCCCCATCATGTTGCATATTTCTTTTTTTTTAATTTTTGCTTTTTGGGTCACACCCGGCAATGCACAGGGGTTACTCCTGGCTCTGCACTCAGGAATCATCCTGGTGGGGCTTTGGGGACCCTATGGGATGCCGGGGATCGAACCCAGTGTGGCTGCATGCAAGGCAAACGCCCTCCCCGCTGTCTATGACCCTGGGCGGGGCGGGGGGACTGGACTGTCATAGCTCACCAGCCCTGACATCCCCAGGCTCGCCCGGCAGTGCTTGGGGCTTACTCCTGGCTCTGCCCTCAGGGATCACTCCTGGTAGTGCTCAGGGAAATCTATGGGATGCTGGAAATCGAACCCTGGTTGGCTGCATGCAAGCAACCTCCCTACCGCTGGACTATTGCTCCGGCTTCTCTTTATTTATTTATACTATGTTATTCTAGAACATGCGGAAAATAGACATGCTTTTTCTTTTCTTTTTTGAGGGGGGAGGGATTTGGGTTTCAGCAGCAGCGAGTGCTCAGGGGCTTCTCTTGGTTCTGTGCTCAAGAGTGCCCCCTGGCAGTCCTCAGGGGCCCATACATGGTACAGGATGGGGTGAGAATAGAGGAGAGGGTATTGCGTGTGGGATTTGAACTTGTTTCACTGGATTATAAGGTAAATTGCCTTAAACCCTGTATTATATTTTCTGTGGGGTTTTTTTTGGCTTATTTTGGGTCACACCCGGCAATACTCAGGGGTTACTCCTGATGGTGCTCAGAAGACCATATGGGATGCCAGGGATTAAACCCCGGTCAGCTGCATGCAAGGGAAACACTTTTCCCCGCTGTCCTATTGCTCTGGCCCCAACTCTGTATTATCTTTCAAGGCCTCAGAGCAGCTCATTTTTTATCAAAGAACAAAACTTTCCCTTCCCCGGGACAAAAGTATGCATTCATATTTGGATACTAAAAGAATTCATTTCAGTGACTTTGCAGAATACAGAAAGCTCCTAAATGACTTTATCTGTGTTTATTCTGAGAAGCTTCTGCGGTTTAAAAAAAGTAAGGGTGGGGGGGGGGGAGAAAAGCTCTTATTGTTCAGTATTCCTCAAGGTGAACGATGAGTGTCAGGCTGGTCCCCTCTGTTCCCACACCCCAGCTTCTCCCCCCACTTGATTCCTGCTGTCCCAGCTTAACCTTTTCTTTCTCATTTTGGCATGACAGGACCCAAGAGGACCCTCTTGACAACCATAATCACTTGCTCGCTCATTCTTTCAATCATCTCAGGCTTTCCTCTGAGCTAGAATACATATTCTTTGAGGGAAAAGATTTTCTTCATATATTCTTTATTTCTTATGTAGGGGTGGGTGGGTGTTGGCTAACTCCTGGAGGTGCTCAGAGGACCATTTGTGGGGTGTCGGGGATCAGACACCCCACCATCTGTGCTATCTGGCCCTCTTTTTATATCCTTGAGTACTTAGCATTCAGTTTGCATTTGGTGAGTAAATGACAGAATGAATACTGTTTGTACCAAATGGTACTTTGAATTGTCATACAAGTTGATGCAACAGAGGAGACAAAATATTTTGAAGTCTTTGAAGATTAGTGTTTCCATTTATTTTGTTTTGCTTTGAGGCCACATCAGGCAATGCTCAGGGGTTATTCCTGGCTCCGCACTCAGGAATTACTCCTGGCTGTGCTCAGGGGACAATGTGGGATGCCGGAGATCGAACCAGGGTCTGCTATGTGCAAAGCAAACACCCTACCCACTGTACAATCACTCTGACCTCATAGTATTTTAGCTTTTAACACTTAGTTTACTTTTTAAAAACAAAATTTTTGATTTTCATTTTTCAACCACACCTGGCTGTACTCAGGACTTACTCCTGGCTCTGTGCTCAGATCACTCCTGCCAGTGCTTGAAAGACTGTATATGGTGTTGGAGCATGAACTTGAGTCATTTACTTGTAAGGTAAGTGCTATAAATAATATATATATATTTTTTTGGTGTTTGGTTCACACCCGGTGGTGCTCAAGGATACTCCTGGTTCTGTGCTTGGGGGTCGGGTGAGTTTCAGTTACAGCACTGCTTGGAGGACCACGGGGTGGGGAACTGAACCCAAATCTAGGCCCCTCAAAGGCACAGCATGCCCTCAGCCCACTGAGTTATCTTTTCAGTCTGAGAAACAGCAATTTTTACACATTTATAACATTAATATTAGGAAATGTTATAATTGGGCTGGAGCGATAGCACAGCGGGTAGGGCGTTTGCCTTACCCGCAGCCGATATGGTCGACCTGAGTTCGATTCCTCCGCCCCTCTCGAGAGCCCGGCAAGCTACCGAGAGTATCTCGCCCGCACGGCAAAGCCTGGCAAGCTCCCCGTGAGTATTCAATATGCCAAACACAGTAACAATTCTCACAATGTTACTGGGCCCGCTCGAGCAAAATCAATGAACAACGGGAGGACCGTGACCGTGACCATTATAATTAATTGTAATATTTTATATGATTTTGAATTTTCCATCCCAAACTTAAAATATAAAAGTTATGCACTCCTGAGATTCTAATTACCTTCCTCTTTGTCTTCCCAATAAAATACATAGGTGTTAGAAAAACATTTTTCATATAGGACATCTTTCACATGGAACATTTCTGAGCTCTTAAGACTTTGTCTTCTGAGTGGTCACTTTGGAATGTTAATGTGAGAGAATTAGGTATCTTTTCCAGAGTTAATTATCAATACACTTACTCATTCATATATACACACACATATGTGTGTGTGTGTATATATATATATTCATGAATTGATACAATGCACAGTTATAAAACCAGAACCTTCAACAATCAATGTAAGATTTAAATCTCCATTGCTGATTATCCTTTAATAGCATCTGAGAAAAACAAATTCTTACTTTAGGATCTGAAATTTGAGACTTCTTCCCATCTCTGCAGCTCCTAATAAGCACTAAGCAGCAATCTGCATCAGCTCACCACCTACTCCTTGGCATCCCCAATTCCTCCAGCAGTTATTGCGAAGGTGGCTTCATTTTCAGGCATCTCGGGGCTAACAGAATACAAGGGAACAGAAGTTCATAAAAAGCTTTACTTCTATAAATACTATGTTCATGTCACAGGCCTGGGTCTCCAGAAAAATCTGAGTTGGTACAGCTAAATGTGGACTAGAGAATTACCTGCAAGTACCATCAACCCTGAAGGGGGCTATGTAAGAGCACCCCAAAAACCTGGTTCCTTCGGACACTCCTCTTTGGCAAGCAGATTAGAGTTGGGAGCAATGGGAGCCTAGGAGGTCCTTCCAGATCCTTCCCTTCATTCTTCTGCCGTCCCCTTAACGGAATGAGGAGATTGTCAACCCTTAAACCTTTGTCCTTCCCTAGTCAAGGAAGCAATATGCTGCCTTTTTTTTTCTTTTTTGGGGTCACATCTGGCTCTGCACTCAGGAATTATTCCTGGTGGTGCTCGGGAGACCATATGGGATGCTGGGAATCAAACCCGGGTCGACTGCATGCAAGGCATGTGCCCTACCCGCTGTGCTATCTCTCCAGCCCTAGAACTCACATTTATTGAACAATTTCTATATGTCAGGTTCCAAATACCAAGGAAAATCATCCCAGACTGGGGAAAAAGCAAATGGAATAAACGAGTTTTTTCAGTACACGGCTAGGTATTGCGTAGCAGATCCTGAGGAGCTTGTGTGACCCTAAAAGTTTGTGCACTTCCCTATTGACAGGACTATGATAGGGCAAAACTAAAAGGTTTTGAAATGAACTAAACAACTACAGAGAACATTCACTGGGAAAGAGGCTGTCTAGCATCCCTTCCGGGTTCCCCAATGCTGTGACGGGTCTGGGCCTTTCACTACCTTTGAGCTATTTCATAACTCTTTTTTTTTTTCATCATTCATCATCCTGTTATTCGTCGATTGCCTCGAGCAGGCCCCAGTAACGTCTCTTTCATCCTAGCCCTGAGATTATATTTAAGGCTCTTTAGGAGAATGAGACCCATCATTGTTACTGGTATTTGGCATATTTGGTACGCCACGGGGAGTTTGCCAGACTCTGCCCTGTGGGCAGGCTACATTCGATAGCCTGCAAGTTTGCAAGTTTCATAACTCTAAGTTGTGGAAAATGATAAGTAATACTAATTATTGTTTTCATTTGCATGTAAACAGTATGAGGAAGCAAGCAATTGATTATTTCCCTATGGATATGAGGCTTGTTTTTTAGGGGGTTGTGGGCTACGGCCAAATCTGGCAGTGCTCAGGGTTTACTCCTGGCTCTCTGCTCAGGAATCACTCCTGGAGATCAAACCTGGGTAGGTTGCATGCAAGGCAGGTACCTTACCCACTGGACTGTCTCTCTGGCCCTGATGTGATCCATTTAAAAAAATCAGTGTATAATTCATTTTAGGATTTCTTACTTGACGATTTTTACATAAATAGGCAAATGCCTTAACTTTTGTAATATTTCTCTGACCTCACACTTAAAAAAACTTTAGGGGCCAGAGTGATAGTACAGAGCGTAGGGCCGACACAGGTTCAATTTCCAGCATCCCATATGATCCCTGAACCCTGCCAGGAGTAATTCCTGAGTGCAGAGCCAGGAGTAAATTCCTGAGCATCTCTGAGTATGACCCAAAAAGTCAAAATAAATAAATAAATAAATAAATAAGCTCTTTTAAAAAATCATTAGTACTTTAATATGTACTAGACTATAGATTTTACAAAATGAGACAAAGTTCTTACTCTTAAGTCTAACAAGTCACCTGTGGCATATGACAAATACACGAAGGAAGCTGGGATTTCACTCAGTGGGTGTATACGCTATAGAATTCTAAAGAAAGGAGACATTCTGTTGTGAGAGTTGACTAGATAAAGCCTCAGAAAATATTTGAGGAGCACTGGAGAAAGAGTACAGTGGATAAGGCACTTACCTTCCACACAACCAACTCTGGTTCTGTCCCCAGCATCCCATATGGTCCCCCAGGACCACCAGGAGTGATTCCTGAGTACAGAGCCAGGAGTAGCTACTAAACACCACCAAGTATGGTTCCCCGGCCCCCCCTCCACAAAAGAAAGTGTTTGAAGAGGCCTTTGAGACAGAAAGGCAAGTATTCCAGGTAGAAGGAATAGCAGGAGTAACAAAAATATGGGAAAAGAGAAGCTTGTTCTGTCCATAAAAAAGAAGAAAATGAAGTCAGGCTTAGATCTGTTGCTTGAGTAACCTGAGAACTTGTAGGCAGTTCTACAAGTTGGAAATGAGTATCTAAAAGTTAAGTAAAAGGTTAGACTGGAAAGGAAAAATTGAAAATCACCATCTGTGAAAAAAAAATAGCCTACTGCTCTTTCATGCTATTATTATATCTAGATTATGGTGACTACATAGACTATTAGTAGCTGTCATTTTATAGGGCTTTACTAATTACAATGTGTCAGGCTCCCTTATTTTATTAAAACTTTATGATAATAATGTTAGTTCTCTATAATTACCTACATTTTATAGAAAGAAGATTGAGGTTAAGAGAGAAGTGATTTACACAAGACTGTCTTGTTTCTTACTAACTGAAGATTCTAGGATTGAAAGCTAATATTTTTGATTCTGGAACTGCTTTTTTAATTTATTTTTTTTTTGGGGGGGAACCATATCCAGTTATCCAGTGGTGCTCAGGGATTACTCCTGGATCTGTGTACTGGGATCACTCCTGAAAGTGCTTAGGGGACCACATGTAGTATCAGGGATAAAACTAGGGGTCAGCTTTGTGCAAGGCAAGTGCCTTAACTCCTGTACTACCTCTTTGATCCCCCACAACTCATAGTCTTGTTTAATTGTTTTTTTGTTTTGTTTTGGGGCCACACTCACTGGTTCTCAGAAGTGAACCCCGAATCCTAAGTGCAGAGCCAGGAATCACCCCTGAGCATCTCCAGGTGTGGCCCCCAAACAAAACAATAAGAAATAAACCCTGGTAGGGCACCATATGGTGCCAGGGATTCGAGCTGGGGTTGACCAAATGCAAGGCAAATACCTTACCTCCTGTACATTCTGTCTGCACCCTTAAAAAACTCATGTTTTATTTTGTTTTGGGGCCATACACAGTGGTTCTGAGGAGTGAACCTGATGGGGGACCATATGGTGTCAGAGATCCAAACTGGGGTCTGCTAAGACAAACATCTCACCCTCTGGACAATGTCTGTTCCCACAAAACTCATGTTCTTGGGACTGGAGTGACAGCACAGCAGGTAGGGCGTTTGCTTGCATGAAGCCTACCCGGGTTTGATTCCCAGCATCCCATATGGTCCCCCAAGCACTGCCAGGATTAATTCCTGAGTGCATTAGCCAGGAGTAACCCCTGTGCATCGCAGGGTGTGACCCCAAAAAGCAAAAAAATACCCCAACCCCCCCCAATGTTGTTTAAAAATTTTTGTTTTGTTTTGTTTTTGGGCCACACCTGCTCAGGATTTGGGTGCTAATCAGGATTTACTCCTGGCACTCATTTTTGTCAGGGCTTGGGGGACCATATAGGATGCCAGGGATTGGACGCCAGGGATTAAACCCAGGTTGATCACGTGCAAGGCAAATACCCTACCTGCTGTACTATTGCTCAAGCCCTATTTAGTATTTATTTGATAATAGTAACTATTGATTAAGCTTGTACCGAGTACAAGTTCATTTGATTGCTCCGGCTGATTTTCCCTCCCTAGGGTAAAGAACATCTCTGTCTTTGCTCAGGGTTGGCTCATTACCCAGACACTGCACCAATATTCTTCCCAGGCACCAGGAACACAGTGGTGAGACTCGAACAGTGTTCCTACCCTCAGGGCATTTCTTGTCTATGGGGTGACAGATGTTACATCAGTCATTCCCAGTGGACCACACAGCTCCATGACAGTGATAAATTGGTATTTTGGGTTTTTTTTTTTCTACTGCTTTCTCTCCAGAACCTATAACAACTAAGATGTAGTAGGCTTCTCTGTAAAAAATTATTGTTTTTAATTCCTGGTTTTTTTTGGGGGGGGAGGAGAAGGGGAGTTTTGAACTACATCCATTGGTGGTCAGGGCTTACTCCCAACTCTGCTCAGAGATCATTCCTGGCTGTGCTTAGGGGACCACATGTGGTGCCAGGGATCAAATCAGAGTTGGCTACATGCAAGGCAGGCACCCTACCTGCTATACTATCTCTCTGGCCCCACAGTTCATATTTTTTAAAGAGCAGCTACTTTTATTTATTTTTGCTTTTTGGGGGTCACACCCAGTGATGCTTAGGGGTTATTCCTGGCTCTGCACTCAGGAATCACTCCTGGCTGTGCTTGGAGGACCATATGGGATGCCGGGGACCAAACCTGGGGTGAGCTGCGTGCAAGGCAAATGCCCTACCCACTGTACTATTGCTCCAGCCCTCAAGTTCGCCCTCAAGTTCTTACAAGCAATAAGTTTAAACTGAAATCTGAAAAGAAAACTGGCATAAAGAAAGGAGAATGTGTGAATATGTTCCTCCCTGCTCTTACCAAACAAACACACATTGTCCTCCCATTGTTCATTGATCTGCTCGAGCAGGCCCAGTAACGTCTCCATTTTGAGACTTGTTGTTACTGTGTTTGGAATATTGAATACGTCACGGGTAGCTTGCGGTGCGGGTGAGATACTCTTGGTAGCTTGCTGGGCTCTCCAAGAGGGGCGGAGGAATTGAACCCGGCTCGGCAGGGCTGGCTGCGCGCAAAGCAAACATCCTACTGCTGTGCTATTGCTCCAGTCCTGCTCTTACCACACTTTTTATTTATTTTTGGGCCACACTCAGCGGTGCTCAGGACTTATTCCTGGCTCTGTGCTCAGGGATCACTCATGGTGGGGCTCAGGGGACCATAAGGGGTGCCCAGGACCTAACTCAGTCAGCCTTACATAGACAGACCCGTACCATGCACTTACCACGCTTTAATCAGCATCAACCCTTCTTTTATCTGGCTTCATTCTAAGTTCTAGAAGGTCTGGAATAAACTGAGTGATGGACAGAATCCCTGAGTTCCTAGGACCTAGTACTTAGTGACTTCCCAGTTAAATGGATCCTTTTGGGGAAGGAACTTCACCCAAGTGGTATCTTCCACTGGAATAATTACAGCCTCGCTGGAAAGGCAATTCTACTTAATACCACATGCCTGAGAATCTAATTAAGGAGAAGAAAATATTTACCTGTCATAAATCTTGGCAATTCTGAGTTCTCCTCTTCCTTTTCGCAAGCTTATTCTTGTGGTTGAAGCATGAGCCAGAATATGTCCCCCGATGGGTTTTTTGGGATCTGCCTGAAAACTGAATAAAATGCTTTTTCAGCTTTCATCATATCATATGTGTATGAAAAGCTGCAATTACGAGGCATCTTTTCTGTAGAAGGAGGCGGGCCATGGAATAGACATGTTCTCAACAAGAAGAGGAATAATTATAAATTATGGAATGGGGGTGGGTTTGGCGCGGCTGTTTACCTACTGTCGTCCTGCTCAGGCTTCTGACATTCCTATGATCAGCATTTCATGTTCTGTTGGACGTAGGGGTGGTTTAGATTACACCCAGTAGTGCTCAGGGATTGGGGGACCATAGTAGGTGCCAGGGATTGAACCTGGGTTGGCCATGTGCAAGGCAAGTGCCCTACCCACTGTACTGTCTCTTGGGCCCCCAAGAAACTTTTCTTTAAGCTTCCCCGAACTTCCTGAACAGTCTAGCAATCTAACCAAGTCTTGAGGTGAAGCATAAGAAGGTGTAATCGCATTCTGTATTCTTTACAGGGCTTTAATTTACTTCTATTTCTGACCAAGTAAAAACAGCTCCAGAAAACCACCCACATCCTATGCTCTTATTTCCCCTTCTTTCAGTTTCTTCTCCCCTTCTTTCCTCCTTTTATTGGAGGATGGAGGAGTATGACAAGAAGGAAGAAGAGGCGGGGGTGGACATAGGAAGAAACAGAGGCCAGGAAAGACTGTTTTATTTATATTCCTTTGGTTAAACAGGATGTAGCATATTACATTGAGGGTGACACCGGGACAGCCTGACTTCCCAACTTCAAATTAAGGTACTGGGGTCGCAAAGTATACCATTATGGTGATGGTAGGACACGTGATCATTTTCTGAGTAGAAGGTGGAGGGTAGCACGGAATGAATAAAAAAAGCATCAACTTCGAAGCCGCAACCACCTAAGTTCAAAGCACGTCTCTTAATTACGTTATCAGGAAAGTACTAAGTAGTCTGACCTTTGCTTCCTCTTCATAAATTAGGAACAATAATAACATCACCTCACATACCAGTTGGAGTATTTGAACAATAATAACATCGCCTCATACACCAGGTGGACCAAGCCAGCTTTGGGGTGCTGGGGGTGTTGGGGATCGAACCCAGGGTTGGCTGCATGCAAGGCAAAAGTTCTCTCCATTGTACTAATGTGCTGGCCCCAAAGTATGATCATTTTTATTGAATGAAACTTGCTTATAAAGATGTGAGAAGAGAAAAAAGAGAAGAAATATGTGTTCAAGGGAGAACACGGGCTTGAAGAGAAAGCTAGAGATGGAAGGTTTTAAAGAAGGGCATGTTTAATAAGTTCCGTTAAGCAATCGCCTTCCTGTTCATTACCAAACAGCTCTATTTTGTCAACATTTTGATTCTGTGGTTTTTGCCGGGGGATGGGGGGGCGGGTATCTGTAGTGCCAGAAGGATGTTACTCTAGACTGAGATTGGGTTCAGAAGAAAAACACCCTTGAGAGGCGGAGTTCCGTTGCGGTGACCTGAGAATCCTCTAAATCACTGGGTATTTGTACAGTAAGCAGTCAGTAGCACACGTTTTCATCTCCTTGATGGAGAGGAACATGAAGCGCAAATGGTTTGATCACAGGTCTATTTGCACTTGCAAACCAGTGATCCAAAACCACCCATTTATGTGATTTGCATTGGCATACTATACTAGTGACACGGGTTTGATGTTTTTCCTCTAACCATACTGACTTTACATTTAATGATGTTGAATCAGTAGGCATTCTTAGGGAATAGACCGTATCCTTACAAGACCACAAGTGTTATTTTATTTTGGGGGCGGGCTAGGAGGGTTTTGGGTGACACCAGGTGGTGTGCAGGGGCTGCTCCTGACTCTGTGCTCAGCTCCTGGCTCATTCCTGGTGGTGCACAGGGGACCATAGGCAGTACCAGGATTGAACCCAGGTAGCTCTGTGCAACACAAGTGCCTCACCTTCTATTCTATTTCTCTGGCCCAAGTCCACAAATATTCTAAAATGATACCTGTTTTAGCGAAACACACGCACAAATTTTGTAGTGTCATAGTCTTATTCATTGCTCATCTAATTGTTTGCCTTGGTATAGGCTGTGATACCAGGGATGCTTGGTATAGGCTGCTATCTTACTTTTTATCTTCAGGCTTTCATCAATTGGATCAATCTAAACCTAGAAATCTGCATCCATGAGCCTCAGCTAGAAACTACCGTTCTGCTGTATCAGATGGCATCTCCTCGCCTCTGTAATTTTGTTCCTTTTTAATACGATGTGCCATCAAGCATAATGCATGGGATATAAGCCTCAATTATTGTCAGTGTACTTGGGGACTCATACCAATTATAGTGATATTTCTCTGACAGGCCCCAGGCAAAATGCAGCTTGAAATTTCTCAACACTAAGAAACAACGATGTTTTCTTTAGGGGAGGTTTTCTAATAAGCTTTGAAATCCTTTAGTTTAAAACTGTCCTAGTATTTTTCATTTCGCTGTGGCATTTTTTATATGCTTTATGTGAAGAAATGCATTTAGTCTATATTGTTATAATTTACAATACTTTAGCATCTACTAATTATAGTGAGTCTTATTTTTTTACATGACGAGGTGACGTTTCAAAGCACACTTCCAGCAAAATACTAGCCTAATGTTATCTGTTCAAACAACTCACTTTCATTATAAATCTCTTCACCTTTGTTTGTTTCTCATCAAATGGGATGCCAGGGATTGATCCCAGGCCGGCTGTATGCAACGCAAGCACCCTCCTCTCTGTACTATCTCTCCATCAAAAATATCTTCACTTTGCCAACTCTTTCCATTATTTCCTTTACCTTCCTTCCTCTCCCTCTCCCTCTTTCCCTTCTCTCTCCCTCCCACCCTCCCTCCCTTCTCTTCCCCTTCCCTCTTTCCTCTCTCCCTCTTTCTCCCCCCCTCCATTTCTCCCTCTCCCTATCTCCCTCTCTTTTTCTCCCTTCTCTCTCTCTCTCTCTCTCTCTCCCACCCCTCCCTCTCTCCCTCTCACCCTCCTTCTCTCTCTCCCCTTCCATTGTCTCTGTTTTGTTTTGTGATCACACCAGCAAAGTCTAGGGCCTATTCCTGGCTCTGTGCTCAGGGATGACTCCTGGCTGGTCTCAGGGAACCATACTGGGTGCTGGGGATTGAACCTGGTTCGGCCACGTGCAAGGCCAGCGCCCTCCCCACTGTACTAGTGCTCCTTTCATTGTCATATTGAGTCAATTCAAAATGGTTTTGCTATTTTTTGAAACTTTCTACAAATAAAAGAAAAATAAAAAACCTTGTCTGACCGAAATATTTCCACTGATTGCCTTTGCCTCCTAACCCTGTATCTGTGTTGCCTAGGTGGGCTGTAGGGCTCAGGAAGGCGTGTGCTAGAAACATCACAGGGGCAGCTTGTTCACTTGAAGAAGACAGATGTCCAGTGGAGGGAATGAAGGATTTTTTTTTTCCTAAAAAGAGGGTGGTAGGCCAAAAAGGTTTGGGAACCTCTGCTCCAGGATGACATGGGCCTCTTCACTGTTCCCTCCCCATACCTGAAGAAAGAACATTGTTCTTTCACTTGTACTGTTTTACTTGAATGCAACCCACTTCCTCCCTCTGAGCCAATGAGTCATTCTCTCTTTTTAAAGCGAGCCTTAAAAATCTTCTATTTCTCTTCATTTAAAATTATTCTCTTTGTGAAGTACTTCATGTCCTGTGTATAAAAGGCACCCAATGAAACAGAGAAGACTGCCTTAATCATTCAAGGCCTACAGACCATGCCTGACCTGCCAAAACTGTTCGTTTTCCAGTTAAATGGATTGGCTTTCTTTTCCCTTTTTGAAAGGGCAACCTCCTAATCCATGTACAGTAGGCTTTGGGGAGCCCCACCCCCCCATCATTCTAGGTCAATCAGGCAGGTGGGTCAATGCAAGGACCTAAGGATACGGTGGTGCTCAAATCCTGTAATGCCAAGAATTACTTGGACCATCCCAAGAAGTACTCAGGAGGCCTCCAGGGCTGATGCTACACTCAGGGGACCTTGCAGTGTCGGGGGTCAAACTCAGGATAGGCATATTTGCTAACAAATGGATTATCTTCCAGACCTATTTTTCTTCTTTATGGAGGCAAAGATCTCGATGACTAGTAAATTCCCAGGGCTGAGTACAGTGAGGAGAGCCCGGCAAGCTACTGAGAGCAGCTCGCCCGCATGGCAAAGCCTGGCAAGCTCCCTGTGATGTATTCGATATGCCAAACATAGTAACAATTGTCACAATGGAGACCTTACTGGGCCCGCTCGAACAAATCGATGAACAACGGGAGGACAGTGACAGTGACAGTGAGTATAGTGAGCAAGGCATTTGCCTGGCATGTGGTTAACCCTGGATCCCGCACGCCATATGGTCCCCCGAGCCCCGCCCAGAGTTAATTCCTGAGTGCTGAGTCAAGAGTGACTCCTGAGCATCTCTGAGTGTGTCCCAGAACCAAAATAATAATAATAATAATAATAATAATCCTCTGCAGAGTTGTGTGCCTGGTATACTGGTACACCGCCTGGCAGCGTGAAGCTGATGAAACCTGGCAGCACTAGGGGCAGGGGGAGGAATGCGGTGCCGGGTATCCTATTTGGGACCTGGCACTGTGCCTACCCCTTTGAGCCATTTCTCTAGGCCCCAACTATTATCACTTCATTGCCACCTTCAAAGTAGTCATTGATTAAGCAAGACTCTCTTTTTTGTTCGTTTTGTATTTGGACCACACCAGCAACGCTCAGGGATTTCTCTTGGCTCTGCACTCACGAATTACTCCTGGCGGGGCTCTAGGAACCATTTGGGATGTGGGGTACCAAACCCAGGTTGGAGCGTGCAAGGCAAATGCCCTACCTGCTGTGGGTATTTGTGAAGGACCATATCACTTTTACAGTTTTTCCCGTAAAAAAGAGCTTAAGATTTCCCTCCCACCTCTCCTCCCTAACATTTTAGTCATGAGGGCCAGGAGACTGTGTGGAAAGTAAGGTGCTTGCCTTACCTGAGGCTTATCCGGGCATCACATAAGGTCCTCCAGGCATTGCCTTGAGCACAGAGCCAGGAATAGTCCCCAAGCACCCATCATCCCTGAGGTGTGGTACAACCCCCACACCCCACGACACATTTTTTCAGTAATGAAAAAAACTTAGCTCCAAGCTGAGGGAGAGTCAGTAAAAACTGTGCTTGGTATATGCTCATAATAAGCATTCTCACAATATCCGCTTAGAAAAGTCGAACAAAGGCCGAGGCGAAGCTCTGATGAAGAAGCGACTAACATGACAACCACATGCAAGGCGTGATCCTCAATTAATCCCCAACCGCCAACAAAACCACAAAGCCTCCACTGGAAGAGATGTTATTGTGACGACTGGAGATACTGCCACACAATTGTACGTTAGATCACACCACAAAGCCAGTGCTCCGTTTCCTGAGTGGGATAATTACAGAGTGGCTATGGAAGAGAATGTTCTTTTTCTGAGAAGAGATATGCTAAAGTATTAAGAGGTGAAGTATTATGATGTCTGCAAACAATTCCCAGTGGTTCCTGGGATTAAGACTCTCAAGCAGTGGGCCGGGGAGGTAGCTCATCATGGGAGAGTGCATGCTCTGTGTGCAGGGGGCTTGGTTGCAAACGTCCGCGATGCCATCCTGAGCACCAGACGAGCAGTGTCAGTTTGTCCTAACAACTCCCTACAAATAAAATAAGGGGATCTCAAAGAGTTTGTGTGTGTGTGTGTGTGTGTGTGTGTGTGTGTGTGTCTGTGTGTAGAGAGAGGAATCACTGTATCACTGTCATCCTGTTATTCATCGGTTGCCTCGAGCAGGCCCCAGTAACGTCTCCTTCGTCCTAGCCCTGAGATTTTAAAAAGTGCCACATTTGAAGCTCTTTCAGACTCAGGAGAATGAGACCCATCATTGTTACTGATTTTTGGCATATTGAGTACGCCACGGGGAGTTTGCCAGACTCTGCCGTGTGGACAGGATACTTTTGGTAGCCTGCCAGGTTCTCCAGAGTAAGAACTAGATAATAAAATGTCTATTTTATTATTTATTATAGAGAGAGGAAAAATAAGATTTAACACACATGAGAGAACGAATGTGAGAGAAAACATGGAAAAATTGTTAGCAATTGATGAAATCCAGGTAAATTATATGTATGTATAATTATACATATATTTGTACAATATATGACTTATATGTATACATACATATATAAAGTACTAGTCTTGGGACAGAGTGATAGTACAGTGGGTAGGGAGGTTGCCTTACATGCAACCGACCCGGGTTCGATCCCCGGCATCCCATATGGTCCCCCAAGCACTGCCAGGAGTAATGCCTGCGTGCAGAGACAGGACTAACCCCTGAGCATCGCCGGCTGTGACCCAAAAAAGCACATAAATAAATCTGTAGACTGTCACTGTCCTCCCATTGTTCATTGATTTGCTCGAGCGGGCCCAGTAACGTCTCCATTGTGACAACTGTTACTGTGTTTGGCATATTGAATACATCATGGGTAGCTTGCCAGGCTCTCCAAGAGGGGCGGAGGAATCGAACCCGGCTCGGCCGGGCTGGCTGCGCGCAAGGCAAATGCCCTACCACTGTGCTATCGCTCCAGCCCAAATAAATAAATAAATAAATAAATAAAATTAGCAGTCTTGCAACCTTTCTCTGATTAAAAATTTCAGGCCAGAGAGACCGTAAAGGAGTTAAGGCACTTGTCTTACTTGTGACATGTGTCTTCAGTGACTGTGACCCTGCACTAAATCCCAATACCATAGATAGTTCACATAGGCTTTTATTTTGAGGTCACACTCAGCTCTCAATGCCGGGGCCCACTATCCTGGTGGAGCATGAGGTACCATGTGATCTGGAGACAGAATCCCAGCCTTCTGTGTGCAAAGCATGCACTCAACCATTTGAGCACTTGGTCCCTCTTTATTTTTAGGATTATATTATTCTTTTTCCTGAATACCCTTTTCTTTCAGATTTTAGGCCACACTCAGGGATGCTCAAGGGTTATTCCTACTCTGCACTCAGGAATTACTCCTGGTGGTGCTTGGGGGACCATATGGGATGCCGGGGATTGAACCTGGGTCAGCTGTGTGAGAGCTAAGTGTCCTGCCCACTGTACTATCTCTACAGCCCCTCCCCGATATCCTTTTAATCTTGGAAAGCCCAAAGTGTCTCTGAAAATTGTTAAACTGTTGCTTGATATATTATAGAACTAGAGAAAAATAGAATTTGTTTTAGTAACATAAGTGGTATCTGCAATTATAAAGTAAAATGTACTATTCAGCATAATGAACTATGATATATTTATGTAGACATCAAAACTGATCTTTGGGGGGTTGGTAAGGAGCAGGGAAAAAAAAATAACCTATTATTTTTGGAATTATTTTTTGTAGAAAATTAAGGCTTACGTCATTGTCGCTCCTGGATCAGCAGTCATTTGGTTGGTCACAAACACAGCCACATTGTATTCTGCATTATGATAAAAATTAATAAAGCAATATAAATAAATTGATAAAGATAATGTAAGATAAATAATTAAAATTCATGATTTAGGTGTCAGAGTCTAGCAATACTGTGCCATGATTTTATAAACAAGATCATCTATTTTTTGATACAGATTGTTATCTTTAATGTTATTATTGCTATTATTTACGTATCTTATTATTATATTAGGATCAACGTTTTTGGTTTTAGAACATAATTAGTTGGGGCTGGAGTGACAATCCAGCATGTAGGGGCGTCTGCCTTGCATGTGCTGACCTGGGTCAGATTCCCTGTCATCTCATTCCCTGTCATCACCACCAGGAGCAATTTCTTTGCACAGAGCCAGGAGTAATCCCTGAGTTTCTCTGGGTGTGGCCCCAAATCAAACAAACAAACAAAAAAAATCTGAAACCATAATTAAGAGAGCCCTGAGAAATAGCTCAGTGGTTTGAGGTCATGCTTGCAAGTGGGAGGCCAAGGTTCAATCCCCACATGGTCCCCTAAGCACCTCCAGAACAACCCCCGAGCACAAAACTGGGAGTAGCTTGCAAGCACCACACAGAGCTGCCCCCAAACCAAAGCAATAATTTTAGGATTGGGAGATGCTTGAAGGTCTGGATCACACACTGTGCATGAGAAGCCCAGGATCACTCCTCGACCTTGTAGTTCACCAAGCCCTGCCTGGAGCAAGTCCAAACAGTGGGAGAGGAGTAGGCACAGATTTGCCAGGTACAGCCCAAAACAATCTCAAAAAATTACATTCCCATTGAGATCACTGGTTTTTGTTGTTTTGTTTTGTGCCACACCCAGCGGTGCTAGGGCTTCCTCTGGGCTCTGTGCTCAGGGATCACTCACCAGCAAGCTGGGGGTGCTAGGATTTGAACTCAGGTTGGCTGCATGCAAAGTCAGTGCCCTACCCGCTGTGCTTTCACTCCAGCCCAAGATAATTTTTTTTGTTTTGTTTTTGTTTTTTGGGTCACCGGCTATGCTCAGGCATTACTCCTTGCTTTGCACTCACAATTACTCCTGCCAGTATTCAGGGAACCATATGGGATGCCGGGGGTGGAAACTGGGTCAGCCGCATGTGAGGCAAACGCCCTCCCTGCTGTACTATCACTCCAGCCTCACCAAGATAATTTTGTTTTCTGGGGTTTTTTGGTTGGTTGTTTTTGTTTGTTTGTTTTGGGGCCAAACTGGAGATGCTCAGGTATCACTGGCTCTACACTCAGTAATCACTTCCGGCAGTACTTATGGGACCTTATGGGATGCCAGGGATCAAATCTGGGTTGACCGTGCACACAGCAAGTTTCTTACCTGCTGTACAATGTCTCTGGTCCCCCATTTTTTTAAATGAATCATTTGCAGATATTATTCTGAGTTTCTCTGTGAAAGCTATTCAATAAACAATCTGATGTTATGCAGTCAGATATAGGATGTCAAGTAACTGAGTATCTGATGCTTTCTTAATAGACCCATTTACCTCCAAAAAAATTACCTTTGGCTTGTTCCTTAAGCCCATATTCTCCCTTGAACATCTCTCTGTTTTTTGGGTTTTTTTTTTCCACTTTGGAGAAGCCATATTCTCTCTCAAACATGTCTTCCTCTCATTCTCTCCCCTCATGTCTTTCCAAGTAAATTTCATTCAATAAAAACTATTTGGGGGGCTGGAGTAATAGTACAATGGGTAGGGTACTTATCTTACACGTGGCTAGGACGGATTCCATTCCCAGCATCCCATATGATCCCCCAAGGACTGTCAAGAGTGATTTCTGAACTCAGAACCAGGCCTAATCTCTGAGCACACCAGTGTGGCCCAAAAACTTAAAACTACAACATGTTCTGGAGCAATAGTACAGCGGGGATGGTGTTTGCCTTGCATGTGACTGACTTGGGTTTAATCTCTGGCTTCCCATAGGGTCCCTCAAGCACCACCAGGAGTAATACCTGAATGCAGAGCCAGGAGTAACCCCTGAGCATCGATGTGTGTGACCCCAAAAGCAAAAAAAACAAAAACAAAAAACAAAAAAACAATAGCAACACACACACATCCTATCTTCACTGAAGAAAAAATAAATTTAAATAATTGACCTTCGGAGATTTTTTGCAGTCGTGACAACATCTGGGCCAATTTTTGCTGTCGTTCAGCTAACTCTCCTCGTCCACTGAAATCCACTCGAAACAGTGCCATTATCGAATCAATTACCTGTACCAGATTAACGTAAAGAGAAGCATTTGGAAATGGAAGAAGTTCATTTGAATCTGAATCAATAGAAAAAAAAAGAATGTGCTAAATAACTCAGTGCATGAACGTTATTTAAAAGCTTGTACCAATAGCTTGAAAATGCCAGCTTCTTCATGGAACTTTGCTGCTACATAATCAAGCAGCTCCATCTGATGTTCACCTGATGGGAAATGCAAAGAAACATTATCAGAGCTAGAATAAGTGCAGGCTAGGATGTTCCTGGGAGTCTGCCAAAGCGAGTCCTTGAAGGATTTTATCAATTATTTAGGACTTTATTAAATATGCTTTTGTATTTTGCTCTGGCAAGGACACAAAATTCTGTTATATAAAAAAGAATATTTCTCTCCATTCCAAAGACCAAGACTTAGGGGCTGGAGTGACAGCACAGTGGGTAGAGCATTTGCCTTGCATGTGGCTCACCTGGGTTCGATTCCCAGCATCCCATATGGTTCCCTGAGCACCACCAGGCGTAATTCCTGAGTGCAGAGCCAGGAGTAACCCCTGTGCATCACCGGGTGTGACCCAAAAAGAAAAAAAAATCCAAAACCCAAGACATAAATTGAGGGTATTTTCATATCTAAAGACTTATCAGAGGAGGAGCTGGAGAGATAGTACAGTGGGTAAGACACCTGCCTTGCACTCAGCTCAGTCTGGTTGAATCCCCGGCACCCCATATTCCCCTAAGCCCCCACCAAGAGTGATTTCTGAATACCGCTGGGTGTGGCCCTCTGCTGCCCCCCAAAATATATTTATTAGATGATAAACTTTTGGGCTCAATTTTTTAAAAAGTAAAAGTATAATGTCTGGGGCTGGAGCAATAGCGCGATGGGTAGGGTGTTTGCCTTGCATGCAGTCAACCTGGGTTCGAGTCCCAGCATCCCATATGGTCCCCTGAGCTCCATCAGGGGTAATTCCTGAGTGCAGAGCCAGGAGTAACCTCTATGCATCGCCAGGTGTGACCCAAAAAAGAAAAAAATAATAAAAAAAAATAAAAGAATAATGTCCACTTGCTTTGTATGCGCAGACCCAGGTTCAAATCCCTGACACAATGTGTGTTCCCCCGAGCACCACCAGGGGTCACTCAAAAGCACCGAGTCAGGACTAGCCCCTGAGCACTGCCAGGTATAACTCAAACTGTGCCCTCCCCCCAAATCAATAAAAAAGAAAACAGTGTCACGATATCATCATTATCACGAAAATAGTGCGGTCAGCCTCAAAACAACCCAAGCATCCAAATGCAAGGGACTTACTCGTATATGCCCGTGCGTAAAGAACATTGTCCAGCACTGCATCATGGTCGACATTGAAGCGATCAGCAATGTCCCGGAGGCGATCTGGACGGCTAGCGTAGACCAAGGTTAAGGATCTAAACCATCAAATTCCCCCAAAAGAGTTTAGGCCACACCTAAAAGGATAGTTACCTTAAATCAATTAACAGCATGATAAATCAGTGGACCTGTCATAGGTGCCCGTCAAAGGGAACCATGCTAAAAAAATCACTTAAAACCATTACCAGACTTTATATTCCTGAGTGTCTTAATTCATGACTGTTTCAGTGATAACATTCCTCGAAAGGATGAGGCGGTCAGAATGATTTTAAATATAAAATTTTCTCTTCTTCATAATAACCTTGAAAATCAGTTGCTACAGCTTATCGCTTATATTACATTTTACAAATGAGGACACTGCGTGAGATGAGGCAAGTGACTCAGGATTATGTGGCAAATCAGTTAGAAGAGAAGCAGCAGCTACAATTTGTGAGGCTCTTTTGTTCTCGGCTCTATAAAAATAGATCTATTCTAGGAATATAATATCACTGAATTATAATTCAAGTCACTTCAAAGCGAGTTAATTCACTCTCTTCATGCTCTTGTTCAATATAAAGTCACTTAATATACCATTAATCCTGTGTTTGACAACAAATGATAAATTTGACATGAACCCAATGGTCAAAATAGTAATTTCAGGGCTGGGGATCTAGCTCAGTGGCAGCAAAAGAAAAGGCTAAGATGTCCCTGGGAGTCAGCCAAAGAGAGTCCTTGAAGGATTTCATCAATTATTTAGAACTTTTTTAAATATGCTCCTGTATTTTTCTTTGGCATAAGCACCAAATTCTAAAAAATTTTTTTTTCTTTTTATGATTGGCATGTGTGAGACCTGGATTCCATCCCTGGCAATGCAGAAAAGGATAAAAGTAATTTCAAAGGTCAAAAGGGAATTACTAATCTAAAGGTGTTTGGTTAGTAGTTCAAAATCAACCTTATTTTAGGGGCCAGAGAGGCTACACAGTGTGTAGGGCACTTGTCTTGCTTGAAGCTGACCTGGTTCCAATACCCAACACCACATATGGGCCCCAAGCATGGCAGAAGCAACCCCTGAGCACAGAGCCAGGAATAAGCCCTAAACAGAGCAGGGTGTGGCTCAAAACCAAAAAGTATTAAATTCAGCTTCTTTTGGGGTCACACTCAGTGGAGTTCAGGGCTTACTCTTGGCTATGTTCAGGGGACCACGTGGGATGCCAGGGTGCACCAAATTCAGGTCAGCCACATGCAAAGAAAGTGCCTGACTTGCTATATTGTCTCTCCAGCCCAAAATTTACCATCTTTTGAAAGAGGGTAGTTTTCTAAATTGCTCGATTTATAGGGAGAAAATTTTGGTGTGCCTGCAAAACCTATGATACTAATAATCATTGACAGTATCTATCAAAGTTATAAAAGGAGTAATAAACTTGCATTAGGTCTTTGGTGATCCAAATGTCTATTCTTTAAAGCAGTGTTTCTCAAAACCTTTTCCGGCAGTGGCCCCTTTCTGACCTTGATTCCTTCCTGTGATTCCCCCATATAGGGCTACCCCCCTAATCTGGTGCTGTGCACCCCCCACACTCATGGGGGTTTCACCTGTGGCCCCCTTGGAATACCTTGGGTGCCCACCAGGAAACATAATGGCCCCCATTGGGAAATACCGCTCTAAAGTTTGCCAAACTTTCTACCATCCCACTTTTCAGAAAAATAAAATTACTCAGTGCCTCCCTGGAAATCTGCCTTCTTTAAAGAAACAAACAAAAAGTGCAGCCCCCCCGCCCTTCCCCCCTGCTTGGGCTGGAGCAATAATACAGCGGGCAGGATGTTTGCCTTGTACACGGCCAACCCGGGTTCGATCCCCCAACATCCCATATGGTCCCCCGAGCACCACCAGGAGTGATTCCTGAGTGCAAAATGAGAAGTAACCCCTGTGCATAGCTGGGTGTGACCCAAAATCCAAAAAGACAAAAGTGTCCCCTCCTTGCACAGGTACACTTCTTTTTCTTACCCAACTAACTGATTCTGCCCTTTTCACCTCTGTGGGTTCCCTCCCCTTTGGAATTTTATCTTTATTTTGGATCACAGATTTGAGTAAATCAATAATCTTTCTAGCAAGTGAGATCTTTCCAAAAAGAGAATAAAAATTCATAAAATATAACTTTCTGGAGCTGGAGAGAGAGTAAGGGCTAAGGTGTGTGCTGTGCTTGTGGCCACCCTAGTTTGAACTCTGGCACCCCATGTTATCCCCTGAGCACCGCCAGAAGTGAGCCCTGAGCACAGAGCCAGGAGAAGGGCCTGAACAGGAGCAGTGGGACTCAAAGCCCTCCAAAGTACAAAAAAGAAATAAATATAATTTCCTTTCATATGATTAATTTTATCAATTTTATGTCAAAGACATTTTGAGAGGTGATGATTTTTCTTTTAAATTTATTGTCTTTGTTTTACTTTTTGCGGCCAGCCCAACTATGTTCTGAGCTTACTCCGAGCTCTAGCTCTTTTTACAAGAATGTGGTGCCAGAGATTGAACGGGGGTCCGCTGTGTACAAGGCAAGTCCCTTACCCACTGTATTTTTCAATCTCTCCAGCCAAGAGGTAAAAACTTAAAAAAAAAAAAAAAGAAAAGAAAAAAAAAAGGGATTTGAGGGGCTGGAGCGATAGTACAGCAGGTAGGGAGTTTGCCTTGCACGCAGCTGACCTGGGTTCGATCCCCAGCATCCCATATGGTTCCTCAGCACCTCCAGAAGTAATTCCTGAGTACCAGGAATCATTCCTGAGCATCACTGGGTATGACCAAAAACAAAAAAAAACCCAAACACTGTCCTCCCGTTGTTCATCGATTTGCTTGAGCGGGCCCAGTAACGTCTCCATTTTGAGACTTGTTGTTACTGTGTTTGGCATATTGAATACTTCATAGGTAGCTTGCCAGGCTTTGCCTAAAGAAAAAAAAATAGCAAAAGTGATTTGAGAACATCAAGTAATTATTTTCCCTTTGGCTTTTTCCATTGCTCTTGGCTTTTGTTGTTGTTTTGTCTTGTTTTGTGGTGCCAGAGATTGACACCAGGGCCTCTCATACTCATGGCAACTGCTCTGCCCCTGAGCCACATACTCAGTCCCATAGCTCAAAAATAATGACTGTTTTCCTTATTGCTGATTTGTAGGATAATCTACAAAAATGAGACATTTCAATCACAAGCTTTTAAAGTGACATTACTCAGTCACACTATTATGTTAGTAACTTGTTTAAATAAAAAGGTTACAAAGTGTTTTCTGTGTCAATGAAGATAATCTTTCCTCCAGAGTAACCACCAGCTCCTGGAAGTTGAGCAGTCACTGGGAAACAAGGAAAAAATTCATATTAATAGGAGTGAATTAAACTTTGTACAGATGAATATAAATTAATTATATAAATTAATATAAATTAACATGGGATTTATGCTGCTAGGAACTCTTCTAACCAATTTAGTAATCACAATCCTTCAGTTTCTAGAAGTGATAAAATTATAAATATTCTGTCAGGGTTGTAATAATTCAACAAAGAACCGCCATATCCTGGGCCAGAGAGAAAGCACAGTGGATAGGGTGTTTGCTCTGCACCCAGCCAACCTGGATTTAACCACCACACCATGTATTGTCACCTGTGCCCAGCCTGGAATGATGCCTAGCTCAGAGCCAGGAGTAAGTCTTGAGCACTGCCAGATGTAGCCAAAACAAACGAGAAAAGGTCATTTTCTGGGTGGAGCGTTAGTATAGGGGATAGGGCATTTGCCTTGTACCTGGCTGATCCAGGTTTAATGCCCAGTGTCCCATAAGGTACTCGGAGCACCAGCAGGAGTAATTCCTAAATTCTGAGCCAGGAGTAACCCCTGAGCATCCCCAGGTGTGGCCAATTTCTCACTATGGGGGATGATGCTGGAAGCTTTTTAAAGAACAGAAGGAGATGTCGTGCCGACTTGAGCAGCTCCTTTATCCGAACTCCGTGAGCACGGGGGAGCAGATTAAGCGTTGGTGTTTTTGTCTCGGATGGGCTTAGGTGGGCAGAAGGCAAAATTTACATAGATCTGATAAACCTACATGTGAGAAAGTAACGATCAGCAGCCCCGAGTGACAGACCAGTAAGTCTGGACTTCCTCTGGGCTTGGTTCTATCACCCTGAAATGGGGAGTGTCTCACAGAGTTGGCATAAAAGACAGCATTCCATGGAATGTAACAGTTCGAGCTAATGAGGCCCACAGGGGACTGAGTAGCCCAAAGAATGTCCAGAATTAAAGCCTGTACCCATTTGAAAGAATCCATTTTTAACTTCTTTTTTGTAGAAAACAAAATCCTTTAAATATATATCAGTTTAAAAATAATAGATGTTTCTATAATCGTCATATATTATTATATATTATGACTATCATTATCTATTAATATATTATTAATTATTATTAATATAATTATTAATATAATATATATTACTCCAGGGATGGGCTGGAGTGATAGCACAGCAGGTAGGAAGTTTGCCTTGCTCGCAGCCGACCCGGGTTCGATTTCTCCGTCCCTCTCTGAGAGCCCAGCAAGCTACCGAGAGTATCCCGCCTGCACGGGAGAGCCTCGCAAGCTCCCCGTGGCATATTCAATATGCCAAAAACAGTAACAACAAGTCACAAAATGGAGAAGTTACTGGTGCCCGCTCCAGCAAATCGATGAACAACGGGAGGACGGTGCTACAGGACAATGCTACAGTGCTATTCTATGGCTGGAGAGATAGTACTGGGGTTAAGGCGCTTGCCTTGCAGGCAGCTGATCGCGCAGGACCCAGCACTGCATGTAAACTCTTGAGCACCACCAAGAGTGACCCCTGAGTCAGGAGGAAGCTCTGAACACTGCTGAAGGTGGCCCCAAAACAAAAGTAAACAAACTAAGCATGCCTCCAGACTATTGATCTTTCTCTCCAGCTTGTAAGATTTTCTGAGGACCAACTTACTCTACATAAAGTAAAGGGTTCCCGGCCTTGCTAGATATTGTGACACTATTATAGATAGGGCCGGAGCGATATCACAGCGGGTAGGGTGGTTGCCTTGCATGAGGCTGACCCGTGTTGAATTCCTCCATCCCTCTCTGAGAGCCCGGCAAGCTACCGAGAGTAGCCTGCCCATACTGCAGAGCCTGGAAAGCTCCCCGTGGCGTATTCAATATGCCAATAACAGTAACAACAAGTCTCACAATGGAGATATTACTGGTGCCCGCTCGAGCAAATCGATGAACAATGAGAGGACAGTGCTACAGTGCTATTATAGATAGGATACAGAAAAGATGGAATGGGGGAAATTGGGACAGTGAATGCTTTTCCTCACCAAAACACTCCTTTATATCCTGTCCCTACCAGGTGTTCAGAGTATAGAGAGTCTAGGATGTTACAGTACTACAAGTCCAAAGAGTCATTCAGGCATCTGCATCACGATGGACAGTTTACCTGTTTTTTTTTTCTTTTTGGGTCACACCCAGCGGTCCACAGGGGTGACTCCTGGCTCATGCACTCAGAAATCACTCCTGGCGGTGCTCAGGGGAACATATGGGATGCTGGGAATCGAACCCAGGTTGGCCGCATGCAAGGCAAATGCCCTACCCACTGTGCTATCGCTCCAGCCCCTAGTTTACCTGATTTTGAGCTTTAGTTTCTTTATAAATTTGGCCAGCTATGCAAAATTCTAGTAAATATCATTCAGTTACAAAGTAGATCAGTCAGTGACAGCAAGTATTGTTATTTTTATTATTGTTGTATTTTCTTACCACAGAGAGTATGAGAGAGCTGGGTTTTTCCAGTACGAAATTCTGTAAAACAAAAGAAAATCCACAGAATTCACATTAGATATTTTCATAAATAATAAGAGTGATAGCACAGCGGTAGGGCATTTGCCTTGCACGCAGTCAACATGGCCGACCCGAGTTCGATTCCTCTGCCCCTCTCAGAGAGCCCGGCAAGCTACCAAGAGTATCTTGCCCGCATGGCAGAGCCTGGCAAGCTCCCCGTGACGTATTCGATATGCCAGACACAGTAACAACAAAGTCTCCAATGGAGACGTTACTGGGCCCGCTCGAGCAAATCGATGATCAACGGGAGGGCCTTTACTTACTTATTCGAGGTTCAGAGATTTATTATTGGGGTTTTTGTTTGTTTGCTTGCTTGATTTGGGTTTGTGGGCCGCACCTGGCAATGTTCAGGGGCTATTCCTGGCTCTGTGCTCAGGACTGACCCTGGGAGTACTCAGGGGAGGTGTGGTGCCAGGGATCAAACTGGGGTCAGCTGTAGGCAAGGTAAGTGCCTTAACCCTTGCACTATCTCTCTGGCCCAGAATCTTATTTTCTTTCTCAGTTATCAAATTTCAGTGTCATGAATGGATTCTGCGGATATGAATACTGTGAGTACAAATAACTTCGTTTTCTTTTTCTTTTCTGGAGCTGGGATCAAAGGGTTTTTTGTTTGCTTTTTTTTTTTTACAGAACCATCCTTCAGATAAAATGAATAATTCAGTAATTTAGGCTATGACTGTTGCTAATACTTCTCATGCTTATGTGATGTTGTATGTTTGAACCAAGGTATTACAGATCAACAGAGATAGAGTTTAAACCATCTTTTCCTTTAGCAAAGCTATACAAATGAAAGTTTCAGACCCAATAAGAGGGAAAACTTGTTTTCTTCTATGGAAATGAGATCCTCAAGAGGAAGATAAAGGAGCCTCAGAATGGAGGACAGTCTGGATACCAGGCCCACAGGACCACAGATTACAATTAAGCAATAATATATCAGTAAGTACACAGAAAAGTAAAAGACTAAACTGAGAAAGAAAGAATAAAAGAAATAAAGAACTCAAAATCAACAGAAGTATGAACAACAAAATCAAAAGATTTAACTGCCAATGCAGCAATTATAAGACACAATTATTTTTAAAAAAGTATCTGCAAATTGGTTTTTGAAAAAAATATATAATTAGGAAGAGAAAATTCTTATCTCTGTTCATGGAATATGTTTCTTAGAAATGAGATATGTCTTGGGGACTAAAGTAATAATACAGCAGGTAGGACCCTTGGCTTGCACATGATTGACCCAGGTTCAATCTCCAGCACCCCATATGGTCCCCTGAGCCTGCCTGGAGGAATCCCTGAGCAATGAGTTAGGACTAAGCCCTAAGCACTACTGGATGTGTCTCAAAAGCAAAAACAGAGAGTTGTCTTACTCTAACACATCCTAAGTAATCTAAGTAAGCAGGCTTTAGAACCTTCATTTTGTTTTACACACACTTCTTTTTTGTTGTTTGTCTATTTTGGGGTCACAGCGATGCTCAGGACTTACTCCTGGCCCAGTACTCAGAGATCACTCCTGGCGGTGTTTGGGGGACCATGCTTGGGGGTACTGGGGATCAAACCCAAGTGAGCCACATTCAAGGAAATTGCCCTACCCACTGTCCTATCGCTCTGGTCTATGTCCTAGTACCCCATATACTTCTTACAGCCTCACACTTCCCCAGGCCTTAACCTTCTTTTTCCTCATTTTTTTTCTTTTTCCTCATTAAAAGGACTGTTTTCATGCATTTTGTGTGACTTTTTTTGTTCGTGTTAGTTTTCGGGTCACTCCTAGCAATGCACAGGGATTATTCCTGGCTCTGCACTCAGGAATTACTCCTGGCAATTTGGGACAATGTGGGGTGCTAAGGATTGAACCCAGGTTGGGCACATGCAAGGCAAGCCCCTTACCTGCTGTACTCTGGCCCCACACTGTTTAATGTGAAACAAGCAGCCAATCACAAATGGGAGAGAACAATCCCCAGGTTCTCTGAAGAGAGATCTCTGCAGGCTGACACGCAAGGTCCAAAGGTATTTCAAGCTTTGATAAAAGCAGACCACCAGGAAAACAGAGGCCAGGAGGACTTGTCAATGGTTAAAAGCTACCAGAAGTGTGCAGGGGGCGAAGGGCAGTTAGAATAGAGAAGGGACCAGTGTGACAATAATAGTTGGAAATGATCACTCTGGGCAAGAACTGAGTGTTGAAAGAAGGTCAAGAATATATGTGATAACCTTTTAGTTATCTGTATCGGTACTGCAAACCACAATGCCCAAAAGGAGGGGAGGTGTGGAAGGGGAAGGAGAGAGAGAAAGAGAGAGAGAACAGTGCCAGCCAGCCATAGGGGTAGGGGGTGGGAGGGAGACTGGAGACATCAGTGGTGGGAAATGTACACTGTTGTACATGAAGGGATGGTGTTGGAACCTGATATGACTGAAATCCAATCATGAACAACTTGGTAATTGTGTGTCTCACTATGATTCAATTTAAAAAAAAAAGTGATTGCAAAACCTCTGACTGCCAGCTGGACAGCTGCAAGGCTGAGACCCTGCTCACTCCCCACTCTCCCACCATCCTTTCCCATATATACCCCCATCCCAGTCCGAGAGTCAGACAGCTTTGGGGACAGGTGGCTGACATCTGAATAAAACTGGTTTTCTTAATACCAAAAATGTGTCCGTTAAAAATTGGTCTTTCTGGACTGGAGCAATAGCACAGCGGGGAGGGCGTTTGCCTTGCACGCGGGTGACCCGGGTTTGATTCCCAGCATCCTATATGGTCCCCTGAGCAGTGCCAGGAGTAATTCTTGAATGCAAAGCTAGGAGTAACTCCTGTGCATTGCTGGGTGTGACCCCCCCCCAAAAAATGGTCTTTCTGGGTCAAAGTACAAGGGTTAAGGTGCTTGCCTTGCATGGTGCCAACCCCAGTTCAATTCCCACCTCTACATATGGTCCCTTGGACTGCCTGGAGTGATCCCTGAGTACCTCCAAGTGTGTCCTCCCCACCATTTTTTTTTCTTTTTGCAACCAAGTACTGCAACCAAGTAGGTGCAACTCACAGAGGGACTGGAGAAATGGTGCAGCCAGGAGGGCGCTTACCTTGCAGGTGGCTGACCCAGGTGAACCCCAGCAACCCATTGAGTCCTCTGAGCACTGCCAGAAGTGATTACTGAGTGGAAAGCCACGAATAACCCTGGAGCACTGCTGGGTGTGGCTCCCAAACCAAAAAAAAATTTAAAAAAGAAGAAAAAGAAAATGCCAATAAAATCTATCTATTCTTGCACAGTGGGTAGGGCATTTGCTTTGCACATGGCCAACCCGGGTTCAATTCCCAGCATCCCATGTGGTCCCCGAGCACCACCAGTAGTAATTCCTGAGTGCATAAACCAGGAGTAACCCCTGTGCAACGCCAGGTGTGACCAAAAAAGAAAAAAAAAACCCTATCTATTAATCTTAATCACACAACAATCACACAACCATCCTGTTATTCGTCGATTGCCTCAAGCAGGCCCCAGTAACGTCTCCTTCGTCCTAGCCCTGAGATTTTTAAGAAAAGTGCCATATTCAAGGCTTTTTCAGAGTTAGGAGAATGAGACCCTTCATTGTTACTGGTATTTGGCATATTGGGTATGCCACGGGGAGTTTGCCAGACTCTGCCATGTGGGCAGGTTACATTCGGTAGCCTGCCAGTTTGTCCTTAATGTTAATTAATGTTAAATTATATTTTAATCCCAGCCCAGATTAATTCTGTCTTAGTAATTAAAATAACTTTCAAAATGATACATTTTCTGATTTTTTTCATTTAATTAGATGCATGTGTCTTTATATCGATGAGTATTTTCCATATAACAAAATATTTCGTTCTACCCACCTCCGAAAGCTTCTGTGATTGCCATGCTCTCAATTCCACCTCCAAGCAACTTACTGGAAATAGAAAGTAAGCGTTAGTAATAGGAAAGAAATAAAGAAAAGGAGAAAGGAGAAAAATGTTAACATCATTAGCAGCATTTCTCTCTCTCTTTCCCTCTGTCCAGTCATCCATCCTCCATAAATATCAGCTCCTGGCTGAACACATGGCACTTGTTTGGATCACAGGTTCTTCTCTATGGGCAATGAACCAGCCACACAATTTATAAGCCATTCTGGGTACCGATAAATGGACTATAAAGACCTAATGACTCACCGTTCTTTATCAATGAACTGGAATTTAAATAAATGGCCTGTTACTAACTGTGTGTGTGTGTGTGCTGGTACTATTTCTAAAAATCAGCTAGTCAAATTTTTCAAAAGTATCCTGAGGGGCTGGAGCGATAGCACAGTGGGTAGTGTAGCCTTGCACACAGCCAACCTAGGTTCAATTCCCAGCATCCCATATGGTCCCTCCCCCCCAGCACCGCTAGGAGTAATTCCTGAGTGCATGAGCCAGGAATAAACCCCGTTCAACGCTGGGTATGACCCAAAAGGCAAAAGAAAAAAAAAAGTATACTGAGAAACAGCAAATCATTGCACTCCTTGTTGGTTAAAAGAAGATAATATTTCTTACTTTGTAGTGTTGTATTACTCAAAAAAAGCATACAAAGCCTCTCCATAGGAAAGAATTCATAGTGACTGACTTTTTAATTTAAGATTCGGCTTGTAGGAGAGAACAATTTAAATATAAATGAAAGCAGAGGCCAGAGCAATCGTACAGTGGGTATGAGCGCTTGCCTTGCACGTGGCTGACCCAGATTCAGCACCCTGATGGTCCCCCAAGCCTGCTAGGAGTGATTCCTGAGTTCAGAGCCAGGAATAAACCCAGAGTACTCACTGCCCGTGTGTCCCAGAAAACAAATTTTTTAAAGTTTTTTTAAATTTGATCATTGTATAATTGAAACTGAACAATAAAATAAATAAATAAAAATGTAAAAAAAAGTTTTTTTTAAATTTTTGTGGGTTTGGGTTTTTTGGTTTTGGTCAGACCTGACAGTGCTCAGAGAACCATATATAGGATGTCAGGGACTGAACTCGGTTAGACACATGCAAAGCAAAAGCCCTAGCCACTGTACTATTGCTCCAGTACCCCAGATTTTTTTTTTCTTTTTGGGTCACACCTGGCAAAGCACAGGGGTTAAATCCTGGCTCTGCACTCAGGAACCACTCTTGGCGGTGCTCAGGGGACCATATGGGATGCTGGGAATCGAACCCGGGTCGGCCACGTGCAAGGCAAATGCCCTACCCGCTGTGCTATCACTCCAGCCACCAGTACCCTAGATTTTTAAAAATTTAAATATAGGGGCTGAAGAGATAGTCAAAAGTAATTCCTGAGTATGAACCCAAGAATAATCCCTGAGCATAGCAGGGTATAGCCCCCAATCAAATAAATAAATAAATAAATACATTTAAATATAAGTGGAGGCAATGTTGGAAGTTATTCATAGATTCAGCCAGATGCACTGGAATGAGAGAAACACCCCAACAGGGTATAGCTCGGAGGCAGAGCATTTGCCTTGCATATGTGAGAACCTGGAGTTCACTCCCTGGCCAGAGGGACAAAGAGAGAAATCTAAATTCTAGCCTGCACAGACTGACTCCAAAGGACAGGGACTGAGTCTATTTGGAGGGCTGACAGTCAGAGATCCCAGAAGCATACCGACTAAAAAGAGACCTTTTCTTACTCATCTTCAGAAAAATCATCCTAAAAGGCTACAGCTCTAGAAAATATCAGACAAAATTCCCGGTTGATCCACAGTCTGGGGAGTTGTTATTTTAGGGTCACACTCATAAGGCTCAGGGGCTATTTTGGACTCAGGGGTCACTCCCCATAGGGCTTCGGGACCAGGTAATGACGGTGATCAAACCAGGACTCCTACAGGCAAAGCACATGATACATCCCCTCCAGCTATCTCCTGTACCCTGATTTGCAAAGCTTTGGGGGGTTTTGCCTTCAGACCACACCCAGTGATACTCAGGCCTTACTCCTAACTCTGCACTCAGGGATCACTCTAGAAAGTGCTTGGGGGCCATATCGGGTATCAGGGATCAAACCCAGGTCAGCTGCATGCAAAGCAAACACCCTATCTACTCCCACTGTACTATCACTCTGGCCCCTGATTTGCAATCTTAATCAGCTGAAAAGCTAGCCAAAATTTTTACCTGAAAGGGTACTCAAAATGATTTGGAATAGCATAATTGTTCCCTTTGTGAAACTCAAGAAAATTTAGAATTAAATATAGAAATAGTGTTTTTAAATCTAGACAGCTTTAAAAATAGAGACATAAATCAAACCCACAGATTACTATTTTCATATTAAATTTGGGAATAATCTGTGCATAGCTGTTATTTTAGAACTTCTAAAGTTGAAGAGTGTTTGACCTTTTTATAATAACAGATTAGCCTGTAGCTGATTAGATGGTATAGACCTGCAGTTTTTAAGTTGGTAACTAAGTTTATACATCGTATTTGAGCATTTTCATTTAAGTCTATCTTAAAGCTCACTAAACCTAAACATTTTAATTTATTAGATTTAAAAAGGACACTTAAGTAACTGAGAAGATTTTAATAAGATAAAATAATGAAAATTTAATGAATGAAAATAAATATTACAGTATATTAAATAGTTTCAACAAATTATAATTAAAATTTTAACATAATTTAAACATGTTATAGACAACTTATAAAAACTTAATGATCTGCAGAGTTAGTACAGGAGGCAAGGCACTTGCCTTGCATGCAGCTGACCCTTGTTCAGTACCAGGTACTGCATATGGTCCCTTGAGCCCTGCCAGGGGCTCTCCTGAGCAAAGAGCCCCTGAACAGCTCCCCTGAGCACCACTAACTGTGGTCCCCAATTTTTAAAAAAAAATGTAAAATAAATTCCCCTTGAAATTTGTTTCCCTTAGGACCAGAGAGATAGCTCAATAGGTCCCCAAAACACCACTCAGAACAATCCCCAAATACACATAACACCTCAGCACCACCAGGTGTGGGCCCCCCAACAAAACAAATTTTGCTAGATTTATAAATAGGCTTATAGCTTAGTAAAACATGTATAAGGGCTGCAGAGATAGTAAAATGGTTAAGGTGCTTGCCTTGGGTGCAGCCAAACCAGGTTCAATTCCTGGCATCATATATGGTCACTTGAGCATGCTCATAAATGGCCCCTGAACACAGATGCAGGAATAAGCCCTGAACACTTGTGCCAAGTGTGGCCCAACCCCTATGACAAACAAAAGAAAACAGGCATATGTTAATAAATCGAATATTGTCACTGTCACTGTCACTTTCCTTCCGTTGTTCATCGATTTGCTCGAGTGGGCCCAGTAACATTGTGAGACTTGTTACTGTGTTTGGCATATCGAATACATCACGGGCAGTTTGCCAGGCTTTGCTATGCGGGCAAGATACTATCGGTAGATTGCCGGGCTCTCCAAGAGGGGTGGAGAAATCGAACTCGGGTCAGCCGTGTCGGCCACATGCAAGGCAAATGCCCTACCTGCTGTGCCCCAGCCCAAATATTAAGTTTTTAATTTTTTTTCTGTGCTCAACATGCAATATCAAGAATGTGAGAAAATTCACCATGACAGTACCAAATGACAACACTAAAACAACTTAATAACAACTGAATAAACAACTGTCTATTTTTTTCCAGAGAAAACAAACCCAGTGCTGGAGGCACAAATACATTGTCTCACAAGCAACAGAGCACTGTTCTAAAGACCCGGGACAATGATAAAAATACCAAATGCCCTGAACAAACACCATGACCTCTTAGCACCTGTATTGCAAACCATAATGCATAAAAGGAAAAGGAGAGAGAGAGAGAGAGCAAAAAGGAAAGTGCCTCCCATAGAGGGAGGCTGGGGGTAGGAGTTGGGGGGTTGGGAAATGTACACTGGTGGAGGGATGGGTGCTGGATCATTATACGATTGAAACCCAATTATGAACAGCTTTGTAATGGTCTATCTCACAGATAACCAGTTAAAAAAATTTTTTTAAAGTAATGTAATGTGGGGGCTGAAGCGATAGCACAGCAGGTAGGGTGTTTGCCTTGCACGCAGTCAACATGGCCGACACGGGTTCGATTCCCAGCATCCCATATGGTCCCCCGAGCACCACCGGAAGTAATTCCTCAGTGCATGAGCCAGGAGTAACCCCTGAGCATCGCCGGGTATGACCCAAAAAGCAAAATAAAATAAAAAAATAAAAAAGTAATGTAATGTGGGGGCTGGAGCTATAGCACAGCGGGTAGGGTGTTTGCCTTGCAGGCGGCCGATCCGGTTCAATTCCCAGCATCCCATGTGGTCCCCCGAGCACCACCAGGAGTAATTCCTGGGAGCATGGGCCAGGAGTAACCCCTGTGCATCACCGGTGTGACCCAAAAAGAAAAAATAAATAAATAAAAATAAAATGGCTCATTAAATAAATAAATAATGTGGAGTTCATGCCCAATTCAATCAGCTTAATCAATGGCTGAATAAATAGCAGTACTCCTACATTAAAAAAAAAAAAAAGACCTGGGACAAGCATAAATTTTACAGAGTTAGAAAAGGCAGCAGGGAAACAGGGTGTGCTGAGTAGGAGGCCAGGGAGTCGCTTATGAAATCTGAGGCCATGTTCTCCACGCTAAGGCAAGTCAGTTAAAACTGGATGACATGGACCGCTGTATAAGGGTCCCTTGGCAGTTATTGCTGAGGTAGGTTTGGATTCCTGTCATCTCTCTGGCTCCTACACACTAAGGTCTTGAGAAACAGAGGAGAAACCTGAGCTAAGGAGAGACTGGGAGGAGCCAGTTCAGGACAGAGATCAGAAATCTGATTTCGGACCTCTGAGGTCTGAGTTGCTTAGCAGACATCACCTGGAGACATATCTGACCAGGATACCCTTTTTTTTTTTCCCTTGGGGCATCTTGTGAGATCAGGGTTTGGGGAACTTGATTGAGGAAGTGCTGCTTTTGTTCAAACTGTTCTACCTAATGAAATAATAATTCTGCCTAGTAAGGCCTCTTGAGCAATATTTGGGTCTGGATTTCTTTTGTTTTTCCTCCTCTCTTGGTTTTTTGGGCCACACCCAGTGACTGCTTCTGGGTGGTACTCAGGGCTCTGCATTCAAAGATTACTCCTGGCAGGGTTCGGGGGACCAGATGGGGCGCCAGGGATTGAATCCAGGTCAGCTGCATGTAAATCAAGCACCCTGCCTACTGTACTATCTCTCTGGCCGTGGGTATGATTTTTTGGGGGGAGGGAGGGGTGTTTTTTGGACCACACCCAACAGGGCTCAGGGCTTACTCCTGGCTTGGCTCAAGGGACCATATGGGCTATGCTGGGAATTAAACCCTGGTTGGCCTAGTGCAGAGCAAGCACACTACCTGCTGTATTATCGCTCCAGCCCTAGGTCTAGATTTCTTATAAGAAATTTAATCCTGTTTCTGTGAGCAGTCTGGAATTTGCTTTGGTTGCCTTTTGCTGAATTTATGTCTGCTACTTGTATAGAAATAAAAAACAGAGGAAAAGAAATGTAGTATTTCAAGACATTGCTTATTAATGATAAAAAGTAAGAGATACATACTCAAATTCCTGGCTTCCGGTAGTGATATGGAATACCATCTTCCTCTTCTCACTATACTCAAATGCTGTCAGGAATCCTGGTTCCTTCAGAAACACAAGGAAGGAAAGGCTCAAAAAGGGCATATGATGATGGTTTTAATTTAAAATCTTGTCCAAAATTATATACTCGATTGCCAAAGTATAAGTTAAGAATTTGATTATATGCTATATTTTATTCATCTTTACTTATTTGTTAGTTGTTTGGGGGCCGCAACTGGTGATGCTCAGGGATAACTCCTGGTTCTGCAGTTGGGAATTACTTCTTCCAGTGCTTGGGGACCATATGGGATGTGGGAATTGAACTTGGGTCAGCTATATACAAGGCAAGTGCCTTACTTATTGTACTATCTCTCCAGAACTCTGTCTTTTCTTTTTTTCTTTTTTCTTTTTTGGGTCCACCTAGCGATGCCCAGGGGTTACTCCTGGCTCTGCATTCAGGAACTACTCCTGGTGGTGCTTGGGGGACTATATGGAATGCCGAGGATTGAATCCGGGTCAGCCTCGTGCAAGGCAAATGCCCTACCTGCAGTCCTATCACTCAGACACGCAACTCTTTTTCAAATCCAATCCTCTCTTACCAAATGGACTATGCCCCAAGAGAAAGCATTATTTGAAAAGACAAAGGGAAAATAATGAGGATGAAGGGAGAAAACTAGATGATAAAGAAGAAAGAGGCAGCAAAACTGAAAGAGGAAAAAAGTCAGTTAAAGATAAAAAGTTTTTGGGAAAAACAATGATCCTATAGTGCTCCAGATCTTTGAAACCTGAGACAATCTTCAGCAATTAAAAAGGTAAAGGTAAAGGCCCTCCCGTTGATCGTCGATTTGCTCGAGCGGGCCCAGTAACGTCTCCATTGGAGACTTTGTTGTTACTGTGTCTGGCATATCGAATACTCTCGGTAGCTTGCCGGGCTCTCCGAGAGGGGCGGAGGAATCGAACTCGGGTCGGCCATGTTGGCCGCGTGGAAGGCGAACGCCCTACCCACTGTGCTATCGCTCCAGCCCTTCAGCATTTAATTGTTGTTATTTTAAAACTGAAGTGATACAAAGTTATTATGGGGAATATAATGCTGTTATCTGTGGGATCTGAGAGGTCCCACAACAGTTTCTAACATTTGTAATGAGAAAGTTCACAGGCAATCACAAGGACCTTCAAAGTTGTTTTTTTCTCTTTGGGTCACACCCAGCAATGTTCAGGGGTTACTCCTGGCTCTGCACTCAGGAATTACTCCTGGCGTTGCTCAGGGGACCATATGGGTTGCTGGGAATGGAACCTGGGTTGGCCACATGCAAGGCAAATGCCCTACCTGCTGTACTATCACTCCAGCCCCAGGACCTTAAAAGATACAAGATCTGCTTACAATGAGTTTGTTGGCTGCTTCTTTAATCTTGTCCACTTTGGCTTCTGAAAGCCCTTTGACATTGCATAGGGCTCTCCTTGTGGTCATCTGTATTCCTTTGACGGTACAGATTCCTACTGACTTCAGTTTCTTAATGTCAGCGACGTTCTGGAAATAAAAGAATGGGTGTAGCGGATTGATAAAATGCCAGTCTGAAAGACTCCCGTACTATGTACTTTTATGTCCATCTTCCTCTGCCACGATGCCAATTTTATTTCAAGCAGCCAGGTGGAGCCCACCCACCATGTAGCCAAATGTTCTGGGAAAATCTGAGTAGAACATACCCAGCACGTTGCCAAATGTTCTGGCTGTGCCCTGATTTCCCAAGAATGTTAGTGAGACCATGGCAATGAAACAAGGAACTCAAAAGAGAAGCGTGTTGGTCGAGAAACTAATAAATTTATCACACATTCACCCCATCAGTTCAGCTTCTCTCGCTTTTATTTATTTATTTATCTTTTGGGGTCACACCAGACGATGCACAGGGGTTACTACTGGCTTTACACTCAGAATTACTCCTGGCGGTGCTTGGGGAACCATATGGGATGCTGGGAATCGAACCCGGGTCGGCTGCATGCAATGCAAACACCCTACCCGCTATACGATCACTCCAGCCCCGGTTCAAGTTTCTCTTTTACAGAACTTCATTCCCAATATGTTCTTAATCCTCCCCACCCCACCCCACCATTCTTGGGGAAGGCAAAGAATTACATCAACAAAGGGCAAGGATTTTTCTCTTACTCCAGTTTTCCAAATCCAACTAAAGGAGACGACATATGAAGACTTCATCTGGGACAGGCTTTACTATCAAGTGACTGCTGTGGAAATTCATCTAATTTCTTACTTAAAGTCTGGATTTCTGCCAATGTGATCATCTGACACAGAATTAAATTTTCAGTAGGTGAAGACACAGTAGCAGATACATATATCTTGACCGCTTCTAGTTGGACCCGTGATTCTCAAACAGGGACAATTTTATCTCTTGTGGGCATTTGAGAATGTCTGGAGACAATTTTGGATGTCATAACTGGAGGCATGCCACATCCTAGTATAGAAAGAACTACCCCACCCCCCAACAAAGAACTGCTTAGCCCAAATGTCAGTAGACTGAAGGAAGGCTGGGAAATCCAGATTTGGACAATTTCACAGTACGTCTGAAAAAGTACTTACAATTCCATGTTTCTGCAACAGGTCAATGTCTTGAAATAAAGAGTCCTAAACCATATGGAACAGGAAAAAAAAAGGGGAGAATTTTGATTCTTCATATCAAACTGTAAACTTCTTAGGAGGTTATGAGTCACACCAAAATATCTAGAATTTCATTTCTCTAAACAGGCTGAAGTGAGATTAATATGCTTGTTTGTTTGGTTTTTGGGTGTTGGGTTATGTCTGGTGATATCCGGGAGTTTTTCCCGGCTCTCTGCACAGGGGTCACTCCTGGCGATGCTGGGGGATCATATGTGCTACTGGGGATCAGACCAGGGTTTGCATTGAAGACAGTGCCTTACCCAGTGTATTACTCCCCAGTCTAGGATCAATGCTTTTTCAATCAGATTACAACAAATTTAGGAGAAGCATCAATATTTAAAGGCCTAGGAGACAAATATTTTGTCCTGGCCTCTTCCAATTTAAGCCTTAACCCAAAGCAGTGGAACAACATTTAAACCTATTTAAGGTTTTCTCACTCTCTTCCCTGCAGGCCTTGAATTCCTTCCTCTATTTGGTACCAGTATGGCCACACCAGTTGTTAAGTTACTAAAATACATTCCTGCCAGTTGCTAACTAGCTAATCTTAGCCCTCCGTGCCAATCAAATCATTACATATCTGTAATATGGCCCCTCTCTGGAATTATGTTTTCTCTACTCAGCAGTTTCTAGAAATAGAACAGAGAAGGCACTTTATCTTTGCGAAATGACTGAGCATCTCTACAGCTTTCAACATTTTAGCCAGACCTCATCATCCTGGAGCCCAGATTCTTCCGTTACAACTTGGTCCTCCTTCATAGTGAAAGGTGCGCAGCAGAAAAATAATCTAGTCTGAGAGAAGAGAAATATTGTTGAAGAGAGAGACCTCCTTGGTTTTATTTCAAATCACCAGAGACCAGAAATAACAAGAGAAACAAAAGTCCTGGCCGACCTATCTGCTCTGTGCAGGGCATGTGGCATTCTTTTGCAGGTGGGTGTCAGGGTGAGTGGTGTGGGATGAGTAATTTTCTTCCCTCTTGCTTCAAAACTTTCCGCTTTTTTTAATTTTGTTTTGTTTTGCGGACAACAGCAGCTGTGCTCAGGGCTTACTCCTGACTCTGTGCTCCAGGATCACTCCTTGGTGGTGCTTGGGGAATCATATTTGATGCCTGGAATCAAACTGGAATCAACATACCCACTGAACTATCTCTCTGGCCCCCTCATTCTTTATGAACTTATTTCCTGTCACCTAATCCACCATCTGAGAACCTTCCCTATTGGGATGTTATTCAGAACTACTCAGCAACTTGTAACATTGCTATTCAGCTGACTTGTAACATCAGACCAGTTTCAACCAACCAGCTGAAGAAAGCTGCATTAGAGTTGGTTTCCTCACCAAACCCCAGGGCCTCTCACATGTACATTCTTTTGCCCCATTCCTCATCTATAGCAGTTTGTTGGTTTGGGGGAGGGGAAGACGACCATATGGGATGCTGGGAATCGAACCTGAGTTGACTGGTGTGCAAAGCAAACGCCCTACTCACTGTGCTATCGCTCCAGCCCCCCAGCAGTAGTTTTTAAATCCCGTTTTATCTACAAGACACGTGTTTTTTTTTTTGGTTTGGGTTTGGGTTTGCTTTATCGGCCACACCCACGCCTGGCTCAGGGGGACCATCTGTTGTTTTGAAAACTCCAACGCAGGTCAGCCACGTGCCAGGCAAACGCCTTCCTGCTGGACTCTCTTGCCTGTCCAACACAGGCTTTATTGTTGGGGTTTATTTATTTATCTGAAGGGGAGCCACCCCTGGGCACTCTGGGTTGACTCCTGGCCCGTGGGCTCAGGGAATCATTCCCAGAAGGGTTCAGGGGACCCTCTGTGGTGCCGGCGCTCGAGGCCAACACCCCTGCACTGTCTCTCGGGGACCCCCCCACCCCCTTCTTTAGAACAAAGCCTGTTCCAGCTCCTCACTGATCCCTTAAGAACAAATCACGAAGGTGGCGGGGGTCGCTCACAGCTCCCCTCCACAGAAAGTGTCCGGGGGCGAAGCGGCGGAAGCGGGAAACCGCGCTCCTCAGAGAGGTCCCCCCTCAGACAGCTGAGCACCCCGAATTCCTCCTGCTGGAAACACCATGCCCAGCTCGCCTCGCCTTGACACAACGGGAAGAAGGTTCTCGAACTCTCTCAAGCACCATGAGGGATCAGTCACGGGGCTGCCCCTGGGGGTGCGAAGTGCGAACCCCGTCACCCTCGACGCCTCCTCAGCGAGCTCTGCTGACGGGGTGTGTGGTGGGGGGAAGCGGGGGGACATGACATCTCCCCGTCACCCTAATTCCCTCATCGGCCGAGGGGGTGCCTCGAGCCCCCCGTGGGGGCTGCCTCGAGGGGCATTTCCGCACCCCAATACCCCCTCAGTTTCCTCAGAGTCCCTCTTTGCCAACACACCCCGCGCACCCCCACAGGGTCCCCAATGGGCTCAAAGACCATTCATTCCCCCCTCTCACCGCCACCGCACCCCGCACCCAAGTCCCCCCGGAGCCGGTGACTTGGAACCCGAACCCCGAGTCCCGCCACGCCACGCGCGTCACTGACCCTCAGCGCCCGACAACGGGGGCGGGGCCAGTGCCTAGGGGGCGGGGCCACAGATGGGCGGTGATTGGTCAGCGGGGGCCGGAAGGGGCGGGGCCGGGCTCAAGAGACGCTCCTATTGGTCTAGCGCAGGGGGCGGGGCGCGGACCTAACCGGCACCGGTGCTCCTAAAGGCCCAGCTTTGTTGCGGGGAGGATTTTGGGGCTGCCTCCGGGCGTTACTCAGGGGTTACTCCTGGTTCTGTGCTCAGCGATCACTCCTGGCGGGTTCGGGGGTCGGGGGCCATATGAGGTGCAAGGGATGAAAAGCAGAGTGGGCTACCAGTATGGCAGGCGCCCTCCCCGCTGTACCAATTGTCCGAGAAAGTGGGGACCCCCGTGCTGGAAGGACGCCGGGGCGCGCGGAGGCAGGGTGCAGAGGAGTGGGGCTGGGGTGGGAGGAGAGGCCGGGGCGCCCCCCCCCCGAATTGAGGGACATGCTGAAGTCCGCGAGAGGAATCTGAGGTGGGGGGGCACAGAGGAACATCAAACGCGGTGGGGGGAGGGGTGGGCGCTGCTGAGGCGACAGGCAGCAGGGGTGTGGCGTGGGGAGTAGGACGAGGTGCCAGGCAGGATGCTTTTCTGAGTCAGAACCCCCCGGGGAAAGGAGGTCGAAGAGTGGGGATCGGGGCTTGGGGGTGACCCCGCCTCAGTGCTCGGGACTTTTCTCCTCAAATGCTTCATCCCTGGCTGCAAGGTCTGTTCCCACCACCCCAGCCCCTGGGGAGGGCGCTCCCCGCCCCCCTCCACCCCCCCCCCTTCAGGGCCGCCTGGGGTCTTCTGGAGAACGCCCCGATCTCACACTGCACCCCTGCGTGCTGAGTGGGGTCAGCTTGTACACTGCAGGAAGCAAGGGGGCATTGTCTCCCCGCCTCCTCCGCCCTCTCCCCTCCCCACCCCGGGCCGGGTTCTGGACGACACTGAAACCCTTCAAAGAGCATATGAGGGGCTGGAGCGATAGCACAGCGGGGAGGGCGTTTACCTTGCACTCGGCTGACCCGGGTTCGATTCCCAGCGTCCCATATGGTCCCCTGAGCACTGCCAGGGGTAATTCCTGAGTGCAGAGCCAGGAGTAACCCCTGTGCATCGCCAGGTGTGACCCAAAAAGCAAAAATAATAATAATAATAAATAAATAAGTTAAAAATAAAAGAGCATATGAGATGCCCCACAAACGTTTCTTTGGGTTAAAGATCCAGGACAGGGCGCCCCTTTTCCTAACGTGTCTGAATCACGGTGCTGAAATAACATTCCCATAATAGCCATTTGTCTTTGGGACGCCCTGCACCCGCCTCCAGCACCCCATGTGGATATTTAAGAGAGCGCCAACGAAGAACTTCATCACGCTTCAAAATCTGTTATTTTCCAGAAACACCGCCTGTCCTTTCTGTTCAATGGAAATAAACGCAGGGTTTTGTTTGCTTGTTTGTTTGTTTGGTGGTAGTTGGGGGGGGGAGGGTGGGATGGAGTGGGTGGGAATGACAGGCTTACACTTTGAAGCCGCACCTAAAGTTATTCTGGTAACTTCTGAGCAAAAGCGGTTCAGTGGAGACATCAGCTGTAGCGAGGCGCGACAAAAGAGCACAGCGCAACGATTTAGGGAAATGCAACATATGTGGTTTGCTTTCGCGGCAGCTGGGTGAGGAAAATGTTCATAATATTTGAAGGTTGTGTGCAGTACACTTAAAGAAACTGAAACGAGCGCCATAACGACACGTTCGTGAAATGAGAATAAGGACCTTGTTTGAGGCGGATATTGATGACTGCCGACCATTTTATTTTTATTTTATTTTTTTTTTTGCTTTTTGGGTCACACCTGGCGATGCACAGGGGTTCCTCCTGGCTCTGCACTCAGGAGTTACTCTTGGCGGTGCTCAGGGGACCATATGGGATACTGGGAATCGAACCCGGGTCGGCCACGTGCAAGGCAAACGCCCTACCTGCTGTGCTATCTCTCCAGCCCCCGGACCATTTTAAATGATTTTAAGAAATGACACCACACACGTCTCCTTGGGGTAGTTTAATAGGAAACTTTAAGAACTTTCCTCTTGGAGCGATAGCACAGTGGTAGGGCATTTGCCTTGCACGCTGCCGACCTGGGTTCGATTCCCAGCATCCCATAAGGTCCCCCAAGCACCGCCAGGAGTAACTCCTGAGTGCATGAGCCAGGGGTAACCCCTGTGCAACGCCGGGTGAGACCCCAAAAGAAAAAAAAAGCCTTTCTGCTGCTTAGCTCAGAATAAGCAAATCAAACAGCCTTTTCAGTGTTCAGAAGTTCTATGAGGAAGGTGACATTTCAAAACTGAGGGGACGGGAGGAATTCAGTGAGTGGTGCTGGAACTATGAGGTAGCCATCTGGCAGAATAAAATAAAATTGGAACTGTGCTTCACACCTTATACCAAAATAAATCCCAGATGGATCAGAAAATCAAATCTGAACAATAAAAAAGCTAGAAGAAAACACGAGATTATTTTTCTTTGATCTTCGGAGAAGGAAAACCATTTAAAGGATGGCACACACTTAAGAGGTCATAAAAAACTTACTGAGACCATTAAGAGAAAATGTGGTGTTGGTGAAGTTTCCTATCCACGTTTCTAATCAGAGAGAGAGCACCAGTTAGTGAGCTAGTAACTCAATGAGTACTCCTGTTAGTTTTACTAACCGCTCAAGTCCTTCAGCAGTTTCCCAAGTTCTCTAGAAAAGGCAAACTTTGTGTGTCTTTTTTACATTCTACAGGAAAAAAAAATAGAATGGAATTATGACGGAGAACTGAATTTCAAACTATTATACTTTACTGCCCCCCTGTGGACAACTACTTAGAATCAAGCTGGGCAAATGATTTCTCAGTCTCTGAGAATGATTTCTTCTGAGGCCAATGATTTCTTTGCCTGGGAGTGTTCTTGGAGTTGAAGAGTTCAAGTTTGAGAAAAGTTTTAGTAGAGGGCCAAATAAAAAAACCATTTTTCACTGACTAGATCCTCCCTTAAACACTTTTTTAAATTTTTTATGTTAGTTCACAATATTTGATTACATTTAATATTCAATCCCACCACCATTACACCTTCCCACCACCAAATTCGGGATGTTTCCATCCTAAGCCCCAATCCTTGTTCCAAAATACAATTGAAAGAATATACTTTGGGGGCTGGAGTGATAGCACAGAGGGTAGGGCGTTTGCCTTGCACGTGGCCGACCTGGGTTCAATTCCCAGCATCCCATATGGTCCCCTGAGCACCACCAGAGTAATTCCTGAGTGCATGAGCCAGGAGTAACCCCTGAGCATCGCTGGGTGTGACCCAAAAAGTTAAAAAAAAAAAGTAAGCAGCTTTGGTTCTCTTAGGGCCATAGCTGGGGCTCCATGTGACCAGAGAGGGGCAGAGATGGGGTAGATAAAGGGAAGGATTGATCCCTAAGATCCTGCAGGCAGTGGGAGAAACTAAAGACTTTTTTGGTTTTGTTTTTTGGGCCCTTGTGACACTTGTTACTCGGAGATCCTGGCAAGCTCTCGCTCGCACGTCAAAGTCTGGCAAGCTTGGGGCTGGAGCAACAGCATAGCAGGGAGGGCGTTTGCCTTGCACGCGGCCGACCCGGGTTCGATTCCCAGCATCCCATAGGGTCCCCCGAGCACTGCCAGGAGGAATTCCTGAATACAAAACCAAGAGTAACCCCTGTGCATCGCTGGGTGTGACCCAAAAAGCAAAACAAAAAAACAAAACAAAACAAAACAAAAAGCCTGGCAAGCTACCTACCTGTGACATATTCAATATGCCAAACACCGTAACAAGTGTCACAATGGAGACATTACTGGGCCCGCTAGAGCAAATTGATGAACAACGGGAGGACAGTGATAGTGACAGTTTTTTGGGCCACACATCATGGTGCTTCGGCGTTAACCCTGGCTCTGAGCTCAGGATTCACTGTGGGTGAATAGAACTCAGAACAGAACCTGACTTGGCCATGCGCAAGGCAAATGCCCTACCCACTGTACTATATCTCTGGTCCCGAAATTAAAGATTTTAACCAATAGATTTCATGATGAAAATATGGATCTTTGGGGGGGTCAAGGGCTCCCCAGCAGTGGTTCGGAGCTCAGGGGCCGGTGTCAATGTTACTCGGCCAGGAGACGCCAGGCCTAATGGTTAGGTGCTGGGACCCCCAGGAAAACACCCGGGTTGGGGGAGCATGAGGTGCTGGGGATTGAACTAAGGCCAAGCATTTATCTCTTTGTGCCTAAAATCTGGATTTCTGGGGCTGGGGGTTGGGGGGGTGAAGAAGAGGGGCTTGTGTTTGGGACTATATCCCATGCTTAAGCCTTACTACTGGCTCTGTGTTCAGTGCTCACTCCTAGCAGGACTCAAGGGACACTATGGAGTGCTGGGGATTGAACCTGGGTCGGCCGCAGGCAAGGCAAACGCCCGACCCACGGTACTCTCTCTCCAGTTCCATAAAATCTGGATTTTTGGAAGAGACCATAAAAGGAAAATGCCGTGGACCTCAGGACTCTTCTGAGGACCTGCTGGGCCCTGGCACAGATGCTGCTTTTCCATGTCCCGTCCAGAATTTTTGGCAGGCGTCTGGGATCACGGGTCCTTTAGTGACTTTTGATGGGGTTGGACTACTGGGACATTTCTGGGGCCCGGCTGGATTAGCCTTCTGAATTTCTCGACCAAATGCAGAAACTCTTGGGCCTTTGCAAGCTCTTCTCTGGGGTAAGAGCTTGAATGTATTCTGCAGTTCTAGCGCCCCCTGGTGGGCAGAACCCAGCTGGTCGAAGCCCTCAACACCAGAGCGACACAGGGCAGGGCTTGGCCCACGCTCTCACCATGTCTTGGCTAACAGATTCAGGAAGATCAGTAACATCATGAAAACAATAGTCCAACACCAATTACTGAGCGACTGCTTCTTTATACAAGGTTTAGCTCATTTATACAAAACCACCATCTACCTTTGTTAAGGCCCCCGGCAACCTCAGTCACAAACAACCCTAAAGTTATAGCCCAGGCAGGTAAAAACTGAAATCCCCAGATTTTTTTTACAAACACCTTTATTATTATTTTTTAAACAGAGGCCATCAGGATCACACACAGCAGAGTTGTGGGACATACGAGGCAGGGGGTGGAACTTGGGGCCTCACAGATGCCCTGAGCTTCCTCCTGTCTCCCCAAACTCCAGATCTTTTTAGAATCAAGCTCTTTCCACTGCATCATCTTTGCCTGTGGGAGAAACTAGAAGGTTTTCCTTCCTTGAGCTGGTAAATTTGTCTTGAGACTAGCCCAGGCTAGTCAAAAGCCAGAGAGACAGACCCACAGGGGACGCACGATGGAAGAAGACATTAAAACTTATCTATCTATATGGGCTGGAGCGATAGCACAGCGGGTAGGGCGTTTGCCTTGCACTCAGCCAACATGGCCAACCCGAGTTCGATTCCTCCGCCCCTCTCGGAGAGTCCGGCAAGCTACCAAGAGTATCTCGCCCGCTCAGCAGAGCCTGGCAAGCTACCCGTGGCGTATTCAATATGCCAAACACAGTAACAACAAGTCTCACGAAGGAGATGTTACTGGGCCCGCTCGAGCAAATCGATGAACAACGGGAGGACTGTGATCTATCTATATATTACATATTGGAGGTGGGGCACTCTTAGTTCTCAGTGAATAATAATAATTCAGAAATCTTATCTAGTGTTCTATACTAACACAGTGTAAAGTAAGTAAAAGTAAAGGCCCTCCCGTTGATCATCGATAACACTAACATCGATATCAACTAACACAGTGTAGATATTATAAACCAGAACCACAAGTTTAAAAGGATGAGATAAAAAACATATCAATAGACTAGGGAGATGGTAACGAGGTTAAGGCACTTATCTTGCATGCAGATGACCCTAGTTTGAGTCCCCAAGTACTTCCTCTGGCCACTGGTCACTGTTGAGCACTCAGCAAAGAGTGGCCCCTGGCACTGCTAGGTGCCTGGGAAGAACGTGTGACCATAGCGCCCTGCAGAGAAAACCTGAAGATCACCGTTTTCTGTCAAGTGTACAATCCAAATGGGACCAGGAGGGCCAGGGAGAGACAGCACAGAGGACTGATGAACATGCTTTATATGCAAGGGACCAGCGTGTGATCCCTGATACTACATGGTCTCCTGAGTACTGTCAAGAGTGACCCCTGAGCACCATACTGGGAGCAGCCCCCTGAGTACGGCTAGGTATAGCTCCCAAACACAATTTTATTTTTGGTGGAGGTCAGGCGATGCTCAGGGCTTACTTCCAGGCTCTGCACTCAAGTCCTGGCAGTGCTCAGGGGACTGTAGGGGATGCAGGAGATGGAACCATAGTCTGCCACGTGCAAGGACAGCGCCACCCACTGCACTACAAAATTGAATTCCAGTGGGACCATGATTTTTCTCCTAATTATCTCTCAGTGTTTCACACAATGAGAAAACCCAGGGCCTCCAGGAACGTTCTGTCCGGGATCTCTTCCAGGTTCTCCTGGGACCCCTTCTCATTTGCTTTCCTTCCTTCCCTCTCCTCTCCCTTCCTTCCTATTTTGGGGTCACACCTGGCAGTGCTCAAGGACTACTCCAAGGTGCTCAGGGGGACCATGTGGTGCCAGGAATGGGAACCAGGGATTCTGCATGCAAAGTTGGCATAGGGCCTTCTCTCAGCCCCTCTGTGGGTTGCTTGTAATGAGGGAGGCCGGAGATTGTTCAGTGCCCAAGAGTTCATGCTCTGGAGGCATGAGGCTGCAGGTTTGATCCCAGGAGCTGCTGTGAGCATGGAGCATGGTCCAAGCAGAGCTGCCCTGAGACCCCTGGCACCGGAAGTGATTCCTGATCTCCTGTAGTAGCTCGGGTGTGCAAGTCAGAGGGTGGGTTGCCCACAAGTACATCTAAAGATGCATCCACTTTGGGGTCAGAGCGATAGTACAGCGGGTAGGGTGTTTGCCTTGCAAAAGGGGCCAACCCGAGTTTGGTCTCCGGCATCCCATAGGGTCCCTCAAGCACTGTCAGGCATAAATTCCTGAGTGCAGAGCCAGGAGTAACCCCTGAGCATCGCTGGGTGAGGCTCAAAAAAAAAAAAATGCATCCTCTTTTTTCAGCGCTACAACTTCCGGCAAGCATGAGTGCAAGCAGCACCGCTGAGATAGAGCGACCCCTAGTGGTTACCGCGGCTCAGTGCACAAGTACCACAGCAGATTTGGGTTCGCCCAGGAGCGCCACAACCAAGGTGTGTCCCCCCCTACGCCTTTCAATTCCCAACATCACCAAAGTAACAAAAGGACAGGGGAATAAATACCAACGAGCAGCCCAGAGATAGCGCCCGGCGGGCAGAGAGCCAACTTTGCATGGGGGAGGCCTGGGTTTGATCCTCAGCCCTGCAGGGTCCCCCAGGACCTCTAAGAGTGACTACCAAATACCGAGCCAGGAGAAGCCCCGGCCCATGGCCAGGGCTGGCCAAAAAACAAACAAAAAGAAGTTTTAAGATAACAAGGAGGGGCTGGAGTGATAGCACAGTGGGTAGGGCGTTTGCCTTGCATGCAGCCGACCCGGGTTCGATTCCCAGCATCCCATATGGTCCCCTGAGCACCGCGAGGAGTAATTCCTGAGTGCAGAGCCAGGAGAAACCCCTGTGCATCGCCGGGTGTGACCCAAAAAGAAAAATGAAAAAAGATAACAAGGAAATAGAAATGCTTAGTACAGAGGCAGCCCCAGACCAGCGACGGCCCTTATAGGAGGAAATTGGGTGTCACGGCGACAGTGGGCTGTCCCAAGGCTGGAGAATCTTGGTGGAACGGCACATTTCCGCTTAGCGCGGGTTTCTTGAGTGGTAGCGCCTTAAGATAAAGTCGATCTCTTTCAGGTAGCTCTCCCTGGTGGGCCTGATGGCTGGTTTCGCAGAGCTCTGAGACATGATGAACCTGTGAGCTTTCTTTCTCATCTCAGCTTCTTTCTGGTCAATAGTCTTCAACTCCCTGTGCAGAACCACAAAGACACGCGGGCCGGGAGGTGAATCAGTACGCGCCTTCCACCCACGCGGAGCAAGACAAACATTTATGGGGCCAGAGAGAGTGGATGTTGGGGAGGGCGTTTGCTTTGCACATGGTCAATCCAGGTCTCATTCCCGGCATCCCATATGGCCCCCTGCACCTTCAGGTGTGATCCTCATTTTTTTTTGCTTTTTTGGGGTCATACCCGGCGATGCACAGGGGTTACTCCTGGCACAAGCACTCGAATTACTGGCAGTGCTCTGGGGACCATTTGGGATGCTGGGAATCAAACTCGGGTTGGCTGTGTGCAAGGCAAATGCCCTCCCCGCTGTGCTATCGCTCCAGCCCCCAGAAGTAATCCTTCAGTGCAGAGCCAGGAGTAACCAAGGAGAGCTGACCACAGCAATCATTCAGTCACAGAGGGGGAGGGGGCTTGCTGTGTGCCCCAGGGACCATGCCAGCCCCAGGACTCTGAATGAGAGAATGAGAGGTGGTCTGGTCCTCAAGAATCAGATGCTCCACCACTCAATTCCTCTTTTGCAAACCACAGCACCCAAAAGGAGAGAGAAAACAAAAGGGAACGCCCTGCCACAGAGGCAGGGTGGGATGGGGGGATGGGGGGCGGGAGGGATACTGGGATCAGTGGTGGTGGAGAATGGGCACTGGTGGAGGGATGGGTACCCAATCATTGTATAACTGAAACCCAAGCACAAAAATTTGTAAGTCTGCAACTGTACTCATGGTGTTTTACTAAAAAAAAATACTTTAAAAGGCGCCTGTTGAGATGGCAGGCCAGACTGTGGTTAGGACAGGAAACCTAGAAGCACTGTTGGAGGAAGTTGACACTGGTGGTGGGATTGCTGATGGAACATTGTATGTCTAAAACCCAACTACAGATAACTTTATAAACCATGGTCCTTTAATAAAATAAAATTGGAAAAAAAAATCAGATGCTCCAATCAGGAAAACAGGGAGGAAATCCCCTGTGGCAGCTGAGTTCACTTTCCAGTTGCTTAACATTAAAAGCTTAACCTGTGTTTGTGTGTGTGTGGGCATGGACTGATGGACTGAACCTGAACCATGTGAAACATGGAGCCCCAGCCTGCTTTTCCAGTTTCTTTTTTTCTTTTAAAGATGTTTTCATGAAGCATCAGTGTTCTTTTGTGTTAAGAAAAAAAAAATCAGGGGCTGGAGCGATAGCACAGCAGGTAGGTTATTTGCCTTACACGCGGCCGATCTGGGTTCGATTCCCAGCATCCCATATGGTCCCCCGAGCACTGCCAGGGGTGATTCCTGAGTGCATGAGCCAGGAGTAATCCCTGCGCATCACTGGGTGTGACCCCCCCAAAAAAATCTGCGGTCAGAGTGATAGTCCAGCGGGTAGGGCGTTTGCCTTGCAAGCGGCTGACCTGGGTTCGATTCCCAGCATCCCATAGGGTCCCCCCAGCACCGCCAGGAGTAATTCCTGAGTGCAGAGCCAGGAGTAACCCCTGAGCATCGCTGGGTGTGACCCAAAAAGAAAAAAAAAAGAAAAGAAGCTCACTGATTTCCAGGGTAAGGAAGGAGAATTCTGAATCTCACACGAGCGGGTTTGGGGTTCCACCCCCCAATCTGGGTCCCACTCCCCCCAGGCAAACAGCGACCCGGGTCTGGTTCCGGTGGAGACCAAGCAATGGAGCTGGGCCCGGATGTGGCTGCGCCCGAACCGCCACCCTGCTCCCGACCCACCTCTGGAAGTTTTTCCACAGCTCCCGGAGGTGCCTGTCGAAGTTCTGCCACCCCTGCTGGTGCATCTGGTGCAGCTGCGTGACTCTGTTCCTTCGCCTCATCATGTTGCTCAGCACCAGCCTGATGATGTCGCGGTAGGTCAGCGAGGTCTCACTGGTTCTCTGGTCAAGGACAATGGAACGGGAGCAGGGAGGCGTGGAGGCAGAGAGCCCTGACAAAGCCCTGTTTTCCCCGCAAGGGAGCTGAGCTGGAGCAATAGCACAGCGGGTAGGGCGTTTGCCTTCCACTCGGCCAAACCGGGTTCGATTCCCAGCATCCCATAGGGTCCCCCGAGCACCGCCAGGAGTGATTCCTGAGTGCATGAGCCAGGAATAACCCCTGAGCATCATCGCTGGGTGTGATCCCCCCCCCAAAAAAAGCTCCCCGGGCCACGGGCTTCTGGAGCCGGGACCACTGCAAGGTTTGGGAGAGACCCCAGGAGAGGGAAACGGGACTTCCCTCCGAGGGAAATGCCACTCGCCAGGGCCCTGTCCATCTATCTGTCGGGGCAGATTGGGGACCAGAAGCATGGGCCGCTTCCTCTCAGCCTCCTGGCAGGGGCTGGCCACTGAGACTGGTGCTCTCTGGGTGCCAGGCCCCGGCTGAGGGCCCGTACACCACCCCCCAATCACGCCGACTCTGGGAGGGGGCGGCCAGCGCAGCGCCCGGTGCCAAGGATACGGCAGCATCCGGCCCGGCTCCCAGCGGGTGATGAGCACGTCCTCCCCGTGCTGGGCCATGCTGGTGTATCTGAGCAGGAAGTGCAGGATCAGGGGGCTCTTGGCGCAAACGTTGAACAGGTACTTCTCCATCTTGGGATTTTTGCAGGCCGGGTGAGACTGCGGGGAACAGAGAGCGGAGAGGGCCACGGTCAGTTCCAGAGCCTGGACCAAGACACAGCGTGCGTTCTTTTTTTTGGGGGGAGGTCACACCCAGCGATGCACAGGGGTTACTCCTGACTCATCACTCAGGAGTTACTTCTGGCAGTGCTCAGGGGACCCTATGGGATGCTGGGAATCGAACCCAGGTTAGCCACGTGCAAGGCAAATGCCCGACCCGCTGTACTCTCGCTCCAGTGCCAGCCCTCATTTTTGTTCTTAACATTCTTCTCACTGGGGCTGTGCTGGGGCTGTGCTCGGGCACTAATCTGCAAAGCATCATTCCACTTCTCACTCACCTCCCTGACAGGGTTTCTTTAGCCCATCTCACTTCCCACTTTTTTTTTTTTGCTTTTTGGGTCACACCAGGCGATGCACAGGGGTTACTCCTGGCTCTGCACTCAGGAGTTACCCCTGGCGGGGCTCAGGGGACCATATGGGATGCTGGGAATCGAACCTGGGTCAGCCGCGTGCAAGGCAAACGCCCTACCTGCTGTGCTATCTCTCCAGTCCCCTCACTTCCCACTTTTGTTGCCAGTGCTCGGGGCTTCCTCCTGGCTTGTGTGCTCAGGAGAACTACAGAGCACCCAGGATAGACCTGGGATTGGCCGTATGGAAGGCAAGCACCTTCCCAGCTGTACCATCCGGCCCCTTATTTTTTCTAGGGGCCACGCATCAGTGCCTGGTGCCTGAGGGCCCCCAGGACCCTACCTGGGACGGACACTCACCTGCTTGGAAACACTCTCGGCCTGCCACCGCGCTTCCGAGATATTCTTCACTTGCTGTGTAGCTTTCCTCGAGACCAGGGTCTGCCGACGAGGCTCTAACAATGCACATGAGACACACACACACACACACACACACACACACACACACACAATGCATCATGAGAACTCAGTTACCAGCAGGGGTGGGGAGATCTGAGACTCAGAGTGGGAGCGATAGCACAGCGGGAAGGGCATTTACCTTCACGGGGCCAACCTGGGTTCAATCCCCGGCACCCTATAGGGTCCCCCTGAGCACTTGCAGGAGTAATTTCCTGAGTGCAGAGCCAGGAGGAACCCCTGAGCATCGCCAGGTCTGACTTTAAAAGTCCCACACATCCAAAACAGAGCTGGGAGACTCAGCTTCCTATTGGTGTGCAACTATCAGACTATATCCAGATCATCGGGACATAATTTCCCTTATGTTTTAATTTGCTGCGTGCCTTTGGCCAGCCATCTGTCCACTTACTTCTCTATCTGTCCCTCAACCCAGCTTTTCAGCCTCAGTTATCCTGAGGTGGGCACGGGCCGGAAGGTGACTAACTTTAAGACACTCGCAGGTTAGTGAGAGGGAAGGGCATGAGTGAGACCCCTACCACTGGCGCAGAGAATTCGCTCTAGGCCACCACAGGCCTCAGGAGAGCTCTAACGGTTTTGCAAATGCTAAGCTTAATCTGAGAACATGTGGTGATTAAGAGAGAATAAAATTGGGTCCGAGTGATAGTCCAGCATGTAGGGCATTTGCCTTGCACACAGCCAACCCAGGTTCTTTTTTTCTTTTTACTTTTTTTTTTTTTTGCTTTTTGGGTCACATCCGGCGATGCACAGGGGTTACTCCTGGCTCTGCACTCAGGAATCACTCCTAGCGGTGCTCAGGGGACCATATGGGATGATGGGAATCGAACCTGGGTTGGCTGCATGCAAGGCAAACGCCCTACCCGCTGTGCTATCTCTCCAGCCCCCATCAACCAAGGTTCTATCCCCAGCATCCCATATGGTCCCCCAAGCACCGCCAGGAGTAATTCCTGAGTACAGAGCCTGGAGTAACCCCTGTGCATCACCGGGTGGGACCCAAAAAGCCAAGAGAGAGAGAGAGAGAGAGAGAGAGAGAGAAACCAGAGCAATAGTACCGCAGGGAGGGCATTTGCCTTGCAGGTGGCTGACCGGTTTTGATTCCTGACACCCCATATGGTGCTCTGAGTTTGCCAGGATTGATCCCTGAGCAGAGCCAGGGCTAATCCCTGAGCAGGTATGGCCCCCAAAACAAATAAATAAAGGGAATGAAAGCCAACTCTTTTTCTTTGGGGGAGCTTGTTCGTTTGGGGGCACCATCTGGGGTGCTAAGGATCAAACAACGGTATGAAGGCAAGTGCCCTACGTCTACACTGTCTCTCCAATCCCACTTAGTGGTGTCTTTTTATTTTACTTTGCTTTATTTGGGGTTTGGGGCCTACACCTAGCTTGCTAAGGGCCTATTCCTGGCTGTGTGCTCAGGAGTGACCCCTGACGGTGTTCAAACTGGATCAGACAGGATCAAATTGTGTGTATGGCAAGAGCCTTAACCCCCATTCTCTGTCCCCAGCACTTATTCCAAGCCATTCTTCAACTATTTCCTGCGAGCATCTTCCAAGGCTACAGAAGCCAGCCGTGGCCCTGCCCCTGGCCCATGGAAGGGAACACAAAGAGCCTTTGATGAGCCTGAAGTTGGTAAACAGTGTCCCAAGAAACTCCTCATTAGTCCAGTAATGGCCAAAGAAAATAATAGGTAGTCGCAGCAGTATTCACCAGAGCCAGAATCTGGAAACAACCCGAGTGCCCAAGAACAGACAAATGGATAAAGAAACCATGGCACGTGTACACAATGGAATACTATGCAACTGTCAGAAAAAATGAAGTTATGAAACTTGCCTATAAATAGATGGACATGGAGAGTATCAAACTGAGTGAAATGAGCCAGAAGGAAAGGGACAGATACAGAATGACCGCATTCATTTGTGGTAAATAAAATATATATATATATATATGTATGTATGTATATTAGAAGAAGAATATCCCTGGCCAGGGAAAACAGGGGTTAGGAGAACTGGCCAATGGTTGGAACTAACCACAAGTGTGTGTGGGGCTGAGGGTCAGTAAGATAGAGAAGAGACCAGTATGACAATAATAGCTGGGAATGATCACGCTGGACAAGTTAAAAGCAGGTAAGGGATATTCTTGATAACCTTTCAGTATCAATATTGCAAACCACAGTGCCCAAAAGAGAGGAGAGAGAGAGAGAGAGAGAGAGAGAGAGAGAGAGAGAGAGAGAGAGAGAGAGAAGAAAAGCGTTTGTCATAGAGGCAGGCCGAGGGTAGGGGGTGCAGGGGTGATGGGAGGGAACCTGGGGACTCTGGTCTTGGGAAGTGTGCCCTGGTGGAGGGATGGGTGCTGGAAACTGTAGGACTGAAATCCAATTGTGAACAGCTTTGTAGCGTCCATCTCACAGTGATTCAATAAAAATTTTTTAAAAATACACTGTCACTGTCACTGTCCTCCCATTGTTCATCGATTTGCTCAAGTAGGACCAATAACATTGTGAGACTTGTGACTGTGTTTGGCATATCGAATATGTCATGGGGAACTTGCCAGGCTTTGCCTTTTGGGCGAGAGATACTCTTGGTAGCTTGCTGGGCTCTCTGAGAGGGGTGGAAGAATCGAACTCGGGTCAGCCAGGTCTGTCGCGTGCAAGGCAAACGCCCTACCCACTACGCTATTGCTCCAGCCTTAAAAAATTATTTAAAAACTGTAAAATAAAAAAATAAGTAATAATAGGTAGTATTATTTAGGGGGACGTGGCGATGCTGAGGGCTTTCTCCTGGCTCTGCACCCTGCGATCATCCCTGATGGGACTGGGTGACCAGGGCTAAAACCTGGGTTGGCTGCGTGCAAGATTATTTTTGAGCTAATGAGATAAAAGCCCTCATTTGGGCAAGGTACCTTTTGGGGTGTAGGTGTCCTGGGTCCGATAGCTGTCTTCTGACTTGGTCCCAGATGAAACAGGTCTCTCACTGCTTATGCCCTGGAAGGAAGGACAGGAGGGGTACACAGAACCCTCCAACCCCCCCAATACAGGGAAGGAAAGAAGTGGGGGGGACGGAGCGATAGTCCAGTGGGGAGTGCGTTTGCCTTGCACACAACCGACCCAGGTTCGATCCCCGGCATCCCATATGGTTCCGAGCAGCACCAGGAGTAATTCCTGAATGAGGAACCCCTGAGCATCCCTGGGTGTGACCCAAAAAGCCAAAAAAAAAAAGCCGAAGGGGCTTCCATGAACCGGCTGCTGCCCACACGCACCTGCCCTTGACTGAGTGAGCCACATCAGGAAGGACAGCTTCGGGGTGACGCCAGAGGCACCCAGGCCACCTTCCCTCACTGTGGGATCCCCGCGGAGCGGCCAGTGGGTTACATGTGACCACTGAGCAGATGACGAGCACAGCCCACGGCCTCCCCGGCAGATGGGGAAGGGAATCGCAGAAAACAACAGGAACCCAGGCAGGAACCCCCGCTCCACACAGGGAGGCCCAGCCAAGCTCCGATCACTCTCATTCTGGAGAACTTTTGGGGGGGCGGAGAGGGGAGTCTCAGCAGGGCTTGGGGGCCCTACCTGGTGGTACCCAGACTGGGGATGGTCAGGCTCGGCGGCTGGGGGGTCACCAGGACTGTACCTGGTGGTGCTCAGGGGACCTTGCGTGACTGGGAAGGGAACCCAGCCCCTCCCCCCGACAAGCCAGGCACATGCGGGTACCCTGAACCATCTCCCAGGACCTCTGGAGAACTTTTTTTTTCTTTTTGGGTCACACCCAGCGATGCACAGGGGTTACTCCTGGTTCAGGCACTCAGGAATTACGCCTAGCCATGCTTGGGGGACCATATGGGATGCTGGGAATCGAACCCAGGTCGGCCACGTGCAAGGCAAATGCCCTACCCGCTGTGCTATCACTCCAGACCCCCCCTGGAGAACTTTGGATTCTTTTTTTTAAATTTTTTTCTTGTTCTGAGATAGCAACTTGAGCCTCTTGGTTGGGCTTCTGAAATGTGTCGGGATTTTATTCGGCTCAGAAGGAAAGGCCTCCGGACGCCTGGCTCCTGGGACAGCCAGGAGAAACACAGTGGTCTTTGGGCTTCTTTCTGGGGCCATGCCAGCAATGCTTACATCTGGCTCTGTGTTCAGGAATCACTCCTGGTGGAACTTGGGGATCCCTATGGGGTGCCGATGGCCGAACCCACATCAGCCGCATGCAAGGCAAATGCCCTCCCCACTGTCCTATGGCTCTGGTCTCAGAGAGGCTTTTTTTTTTGTGTGTGTGTGTGTGTGGCTTTCGGGTCACACCCCGTGATGCACAGGGGTTCCTCCTGACTCAGGCACTTAGGAATTTCTCCTGGTGGTGCTCGGGGAATCATATAGGATGCCGGGTATTGAACCCACGTCGGCCACATGCAAGGCAAGTGCCCTCACCATTGTCCCTCAACTCCAGGTCCCAGAGAGGCATTTTAACCCATCTCTCCCTGAATCATCCTGGCTTGGCCTCTGTCAGGCACTGAGCACTGTATGCAGAGCACCGGGCTGAGAGTTTACAGCCGAAATCACTCCCAGGAAGTAAAGAGACACATGGGCTCTGACCTGGAGGCGGGAGAGAGGAGCGCGAGAAGGAAAGAGGGTCTCTCCTCCCGGCCCGGCCCAGGAAGGGGGACAAGACACGAACCCCGCAACCCCCCCCCCCACACACACTAACAACACAACACAAGGTGGCAGCACGGTGCAAGGGTGACAGGGAGCTGGGGAGGCAGATGACCTGTGAGGCGATGCGGGAGAAACTGGGAACATGAAGCGCCACTCGGAGCCCGTGGTTCCCATGGGGGTTCCTGGCAGAGGGGCAGCTCTCTCTCGAGTCGGCCCGACGTTTCTATTTCCGCTCTCGGGGGAAACAGGCCCTTGTGCGCACAGAGGGAGCCCCCGGGGGTCGTTCCTAGCTATCCCAGAGCACATCTGTTCCGCCAGCACTGACCTGCCCAGTGGTGACCAGGATCCCCAGGGCTATCCTGATGGTGCTGGACTTGTGGAGATGTCCAACTTGGGGCCTCAGATATGCACTCTAGTCCTTTTTGTGGGGTGAGGGGGGTCACACCCAGCGATGCTCAGGGGTTACCCCTGGCTCTACTACACTTAGGAATTACTCCTATAAGTGCTTGGGGGATTGAATGGGATGCTGGGGATCGAACCCAGGTCGGCCGCAAGCAAGGAAAGCGCCCCCCCCCACCCGACTGTACTATGAGTCCGTCCTCAAAACTCCAGCCTTTAACTGTGGTTCCCCAACCTCCCCACCCCCACCGGGATACTGACGTGGACACAGAGCCTCAAGGAAAGGGCCAGGGGCCATGCTGGGAGACTGCCCTGAGTCCAGCGGTGTGCAAGGGGGTGCACTGGACGGGCAGGCCAGCCCACCCCACAGCACCCCTGCAGGTACAGGAAGCAGAGCTGGAGCCTGACCGGAAGTCACCCCAGCAAATGGGGCTCTGCGGATTCTGGCTGGACTCCAGGTCAGAGCCCGTGTGTTTCCTTACTTCCTGGGAGTGGTTTCGGCTGTAAACTCTCAGCCCGGTGCTCCGCATACAGTGCTCAGTGCCTGAGAGAGGCCAAGCCAGGATGGTCCAGTGTGCACTGGACGGGCAGGCCAGCCCACCCCACAGCACCCCTGCAGGTACAGGAAGCAGAGCTGAAGCCTGACCGGAAGTCACCCCAGCAAATGGGGCTCTGTGGATTCTGGCTGGGGCTCCCCACTCACCGGCACGTGGGGTTTCCGGAACCTACTGCTCCTGGAGATGGTGGGCCTCCGCTGCGTGGAGGCAGAGCTCGTGTCTCTCCCCAGTAGAGAGCTGTCTTTTCCTAGTGAAGAGAGACATTTGTTATTTTTCTAATTTTTTTATTTTTTGCTTTTTTGAGTCACATCCGGTGATACTCAGGGGTTCCTCCTGGCTCTGCACTCAGGAATTACTCCTGGCGGTGCTCGGGGGACTGAGCTGGGAATCGAACCCGGGTTGGCTGTGTGCAAGGCAAACACCGTACTTGCTGTACTATTGCTCCAACCCCATTATTCTTTTTTTAAATGTAGGAATACTGCTATTTATTCAGCCATTGATTAAGCTGATTGAATTGGCCATGAACTCCACATTTTTTGTTTTTTTTGGGGTTTTTGGGTCACACCCAGCAACGCACAGGGCTTACTCCAGGGTTTGCACTCAGGAATGACTCTTGGCGGTGCTCAGGGGACTAGATGGGATCTGGGAATTGAACTCGAGTTGGCAATGTGCAAGGCAAATGCCCTACCCACTGTACTATCGCTCCAGCCCCCACATTACTTTTTAAAAAAAATTTTAAATTGAATATCCATGATAACCATTACCAAGCTGCTCATAACTGGGTTTCAGTCATACAACGATCCAGCACCCACCCCTCCACCAGTGCACATTTCCCACCACCGATGTCCCCTGTTTCCCTCCCACCATCCCCCAACACCCCAACCCCCACCCCCAGCCTCCCTCTGTGGGAGACACTTTCCTTCTCTCTCACTCGGCCTCCTTTTCCTTTGGGAGAGACACTTGTACTTTTTTTTTTTTTTTTTTTTTTTTTTTTTTGCTTTTTGAGTCACACCCGGCGATGCTCAGGGGTTACTCCTGGCTCAAGCACTCAGGAATTGCTCCTGGCAGTGCTTGGGGCACCCTATGAAATGATCAAACCCAGGTCAGTCGCATGCAAGGCAAACGCCCTCCCCACGATACTATCCCTCCGGCCCCTATAGCACAACTTCTTAAGTCCAGGCTCACTGAGCAGCCTTCCCGGGCTCCCTTAGTGCCAAGTCCCCAGTTCTGGGCCTCATTCACCCCAACAGGATCGCAAGGCTCAAATGTCCAAATGTCCCCGTCCAGGCCCAACTGTTCTTTGCTTTTCCGCCGATTGTTATTGAACTTGCCCATGGGCCAGTTCCTGGCTGCCCTGAACTCTGGTTCCCTCTGCAAAGTGGATTTGGGGTGGACTTTCTTTTTTCTTTTTTTTTTTTTTTGGTTTTTTTTTTTTTGGGTCTCACCAGGCAATGCTCAGGAGTTACCCCTGGCTCTGCACTCAGGAATTACTCCTGGAGGTGCTCGGGGGACCATATGGGATACTGGGAATCGAACCCGGGTCGGTCGCGTGCAAGGCAAACGCCCTACCCGCTGTGCTATCGCTCTGGCCCCTGGGGTGGACTTTCGAGGGTTGTCAGGATTAAATAAAAGAACCCCTACCCCACGGTGGCCTGTAAGAAGCAGACCCTCACCCCCACCCTGGAAGCTGCCATTACAAGGTCAACCCTCCCCCACACCCCAACTGCATCCGTTCACCCCAAAATACTGACATTTGCTTAGGAAGCTGGAGGTGGCAGGGCACAATGGCGGCCGGCCCGGGTCCCTGCCTGGCTGGGACCTACCCTTCATCATGTATTTGCTCAGACTCATTAACTCTTCTCTCCGGTGTCTCTCGGGGTCCAGTTTCGCGTAGTTCCAGTTGCTATAGCTCTGAGGGCTGGGGTAGATCCCTGAGAGGAAGCCAAGAGGGGCGGGAGAGACAGGACAGAGGGTAAGGCGCTTGCCTTGCACGCGGCTGACCCAAGTTTAATCCTCAGTATCCCATGTGGTCCCCACGCCCCACCCCTGTGCCCTGCCAGGAGTAAGCCCTGAGCATCGGGGCTGGAATGATAGCACAGCGGGAAGGGCGTTTGCCTTGCACGCGGCCGACCCAGGTTCGATTCCCAGCATCCCATAGGGTCCCCCAAGCACTGCCAGGAGCAATTTCTGAGTGCATGAGCCAGGAGTAACCCCTGAGCATCGCCGGGTGTGACCCAAAAAGCAAAAACAACAACAACAACAAAAAACCCCTGAGATTGCCAGGTGTGGCCCCAAAACCCTCCCACCACCCATAACACACACACACACACACACACACACACACACACACACACACGTGGGACCAGGTGAGAGGCCTGTGAACCAGGCTGCTCCCTTCCCTGCACCCCCATTGGGTGTGACCTCATGACCCTGGGCCAGCTCTGTCTTCCCGGCTTACCTGAGAACCACAGGCCCATGGTGTCGCAGATGGAAGACTTAAACTCGTGGGTGCTGAGCCAGGACTGGGAGAAGCAGCAGCAGAAGCTGGTATAGAGGGCCTTGCTCAGGAGCATGGGCAGTCTCTGGGGGCCAGGCGAGCTCGGGTCACCCTCTGGACCCGCCCGCAGACAGCCCCAGGATGGGGCTGGAGCGACAGTCCAGTGGGTAGAATGCTCGCCTTGCATGCATGCATCCCAACCCCAGATTCGCTCCCGGGCATCCCCAAGGGTCCCCTGATTCCTGAGCACGGGGCTAGAAGTAATTCCTGAGCACGGGGCTAGAAGTAATTCCTGAGCATCACTGGGTATGGCCCAGAAACAAAAGAATAAATAAATAAATAGACAAAGAGGGGCTGGAGCAATAGCACAGCGGGGAGGGCGTTTGCCTTGCACGCGGCCGACCCGGGTTCAATTCCCAGCATCCCATATGGTCCCCTGAGCACCACCAGGAGTAACTCCTGAGTGCAGAGCCAGGAGTAACCCCTTGCATCGCCAGATGTGACCCCAAAAGGAAAAAAAAATAAAGAATTGACAAATTAAGGGCTGGAGCAATAGCACAGCGGTAGGGCGTTTGCCTTGCGTGCAGCCAACATGACCAACCTGAGTTCGATTCCTCCACCCCACTCAGAGAGCCCGGCAAGCTACTGAGAGTATCTCGCCCACATGGCAGAGCCTGGCAAGCTACCCGTGATGTATTCGATATGCCAAATACAGTAACAACAAAGTCTCCAATGGAGACGTTACTGGGCCCGCTCAAGCAAACCGATGAATAACGGGAGGACAGTGACAGTGACAAATTAAGGGCGGGAGTTCTTGTGTAGGGCACTTGTCTTACATGTGTCTAACCTAGGTTTAATCTCCGGCATCCCATATGGTCCTCAGAGCTCATCAGGAGTGATTCCTGAGGACAGAGCCAGAAGTAACCCCTGAGCACTGCCGGTGCGACCCAAAAACCTAAAAAAAATTTTGATAAATATGTTTCCAGATAGTTTCCTATCATAGGCCCACATACATTTATGTCTACATTTGATTTGTTTGTCTTGATTTGGGGGAGCCACTGCAAAGTGCTCGAGAGGCCTGAGGTTCCGGGGATCAATGCTGGGGCCGTGTGCACACCATGCTTGCACACTAGCCCTTTGGTCTAATTCCCTGTTCACTCTCCACACACACACACACACACACACACACACACACACACACACACACTCTTGCATAGATTGCTTTGCTTTTCATCTTATTTATTTATTTATTTCGGGCCGACCCGGGTTCGATTCCTCCGCCCCTCTCGGAGAGCCCGGCAAGCTACAGAGAGTATCCCGCCCGCATGGCAGAGCCTGGCAAGCTCCCCGTGACGTATTCGATATGCCAGACACAGTAACAACAAAGTCTCCAATGGAGACGTTACTGGGCCCGCTCAAGCAAATCGATGAACAATGGGAGGACAGTGACAGTGACAGTTGGTTTGGGGGCTATACCCAGCTCGGGACTTTTAGCTGTGCCCTCAGGGATGACTCTTGGCCGGGCTCAGGAAACCACATGGGGGGGGCAGAGATTGAACCCAAGCCAGCCGTAAGCAAGAAATCCTGGGACAGAGAGAGAGAAACAGAGAGAGAGAGAGAGAGAGAGAGAGAGAGGAGCAGGAAGGGGGAGGGGATCTACCTCTTCTACGCCCTCACTGCGCTGTGCTTCAGTGCTCAGACCCTCCCCCCCCCCCCCCCCCCCCGTTTCCGAGATGCTCCTGTACGGGATGTCAGAACCGTTCTATTCATGCAGAATAAACCCGTCTCTGTGGTGACTCCCCAACAGTGCTCACCTTTAGGATCGCCCTCTCATAGAAGGTACCAGGGCCAAAAAATAAAAGGGAGGCATAGTTCAGGGCAATCCGGTCGAACAGCTTGTTCTGGATCTCCTTGTCGGGCTGCCAGGAGCAAATGAAGGCGGGGGGGGGCACCGTCAGACTCCCCCCGGAAACGCGGGTGGCAGTCAGAGCTTATCCCCCCCTATTCAGGAATCTATTCTCAGACCTCCAACTTCCTATTTGCTAGGGAACGACACCCTAGAGGCAGGGCAAAGCCCCCCAACTCTGACCGGGTCCCAACTACCTTCTATTTTTTTTTTTAAGTTTTTTTTTGGTCATGCTGGGTGATGCACAGGAGCTCCTCCTGGTTCATGCACTCAGGAATTACTCCTGGCGGTGCTCGGGGGACCATATGGGATGCTGGGAATCGAACCCAGGTCGGCTGCGTGCAAGGCAAACGCCCTTCCCACTGTGCTATTGCTCCAGTCCCCCCCCCACACAACTACCTTCTTGGCTCTGCCCGGGAACATCCCCTTGACAAGGACCAGCTCCCCGAGCTGGTCTGAGGGGGGCCAGGACCCCGGGGAAATGGTGAAGGCACAGGCTGTCTGCCAGAGGCAGGGCGAGTGGGGGATCAGGGGAGGCAGCAGGGCTGAGCGCCCCGGGAAAATGGGTGCAAAGCACTCTGCAGGGATCAGCTCCGTCTCAGCCAAGCGCCAGAAACCAGCCAAGACCCCCCCGCAGGTCACGTACCTTGTACCTTTCGTGGAAGATCCACCAGAAGCTGTCCAGCCATATGGCCTTCACAGAAGGAGATAAGAAAAACTTCTCCAATTCTTTTTCAACACAAAATGTCTTGAAAAGACACAGAAGACAGTTATTATGTTTGGGTTTTCTTTTCCTGGGGGGGGAATAATGAGTTCTTGACCACACCCACCAGTGCTCAGGGCTCACTCCCAGCTTTGTACGCAGGGATCACTCTTGGCAGTGCTCGGGGGACCATACAGGGTGCCAGGGATTAAGCCTGGGTTGGCCGCATGCAAGGCAAGCGCCCAACAGGTTGGATAGCTCCGGCCCCCAAAAAACACATTGCTGGGGCTGGAGCAATAGCACAGCAGGTAAGGCATTTGTCTTGTATGTGGCCGACCCGGGTTCAATTCCCAGCATCCCCCGAGCACTGCCAGGAGTAATTCCTGAGTGCAAAGCCCGGAGTAACCACTGTGCATCTCCGGTTGTGACCCAAAAAGGGAAAAAAAAAAACAGACAATTATTGCTATGACTGTTTGTTTTGTTTTATTTGATTTGGTGGCCACACCCGTTGATGCTCAGGGGTAACTCCTGGCTCGTGCAAGGCAAATGCCCTCCCCGCTGGACTATGGCTCCAGCCCAAACCAATATATTTCATAGCGTATGCTTGGGGCCGGAGCCATAGCACAGTGGGGAAGGCGCTTGCTTTGCTTGTGGCTGACCCGAGTTTGATCCCCGGCATCCCACTGGGTACCCTGAGCACTGCCAGGAATGATTCCTGAGTGCGGAGCCAGGAGGAACCCCTTAGCATCGCCCGGTGTGACCCAAAACAAAACAAAACAAAAGTGCACTTGTGGAAAACACAACAGAAAGGCAAATCGAGGAGTGTGGGCCATGGGCCGGGGAGGTGGGGGTGTGTGTGTCCAATCCCCTCCATGTCCACAGGGTGGCCACTGGGTATAACTGCTCCGCTGTCCTGACTCAGGGGCAGGAAACCGGAGCACACAAACCTGGCGAGGGAAAGTTGGGGTGCTGCTGGTCATGGGGGTGCTGCCCCTGCGCTTGTGCCTCTCACCTTGCCAGTCAGGGGGCTCCGCTCCGCCAGGATCAAGTTTCTGACCATATCCAGGAAGACCACCCCGTTCGGGAGCTCGTTGGGCTGAGCCTCATTAAACTCGGGGTGCTGGAACAGTTCTGCCAGCAGGTTTTTAGGGGCGATTTTCTGAAACAGGAAGATGCGTGTGGGGCTGGGGAAGGTGGGGGGCACAGCTGGGGGAGCTTAGTTTGGTCCCCAGCACCACACAGCGCCCCCACCCCACCCCCAACCCCGAGCATCTCCACGTGTGGCCTCAAAACCAAAGAAACAGGGGCTGGAGCGATAGCACAGTGGGCAGGGCTTTTGCCTTGCACGCGGCCGACCTGGGTTCGATTCCCAGCATCCCATATGGTTCCCCGAACACTGCCAGGAGTAATTCCTGAGTGCAGAGCCAGGAGGAACCCCTGTGCATCACTCGGTGTGACCCAAAAAGAAAAAAAAGGCAAAGAGAAGTATAGGGGAAAGAGCACTTGCCAACCCAGGGTCAAATTCCCAGCAAATGCATCCGTCTGGTCCCCAAACACCACCAGGGGTCACTCCTGAGCAGAGCCAGGAACAGTTCCTGAATGCCACCACCAGGAGTTACCCAACCCACCTGCCATAAATATTACAGACTATTAACTATCTTTAAACTATTAAATTTATTTTTAAAATAAATAAGATTGATTTTGCCCTAATCTTCACCTACAAAGAACTAGAAGCCAGAGAGACAGTCCAGCATGGAGGATGTCTGCCCTGCATGTGGCTGACCTGGGTTCGATCCCTGGCATCCCATATGGTCCCCCGAGCACCGCCAGGAGTGATTCCTGAGTGCAGAGCCAGGAGGAAGACCTGAGCATCTCCGAGTGGGGCCCACCCAACACTCCTCCCCCTCAAATTTTTTTTTAACTATAGAAAAGAAAGGAAGCTGTTCCCATCACCCTCAGGGGCACCACTGGCACCCACTGGCACCATTCTGAGGAATTGAATCCTTTCCTAGCTGGGCAGCACTATTGTTCAGGAATGAGGCAGTGAAATGCATTGGCTGCACAGCTCCACTAGCTACCAGCTGTGTCCTTTCACTGGGACCTCTGTGTCAGCTTGGCCCCATGCTGTGTCAGCTTGGCCCCATGCTGGGTCAAGGGTGCCCCTCTCAGGACAGGCTCCGCCCCCAGGCCTCACACTGTTGGAATCTCCTAAGCTAAAAGGTGCAGGAAGGCCACAACATCGCTGTTCACTCTTCTCCAGCATTTAAAGGGTTAAATGCCAGCCGCAGGAGTCATAGCACAGTGGGGAGGGCATTTGCCTTGCATGAAGACAACCTGGTTTGATTCCCAGCATCCCATAGGGTCTCCTGAGCACTGCCAGGAGTAATTACTGAGGGCATGAGCCAGGAGGAACCCCTGTGCATCGCCGAGTGTGACCCAGAAAGAAAAAAAAGGGTTAAATGTCGAGAACCAAGTGGTTTACAGCCCAAGCTTTCAACCACCAGCTCTGAACCTTGAACCTGAGCCAGCGAGCAACTGGGAAAGGCTAAAACCACTAGTGGGAAGAGCAAAGGAAGGAGAATCTGGCCCGGGAAGGAGAGAGTGAAGAGAGGCTGGATGCGGATGGGAGGATGTGAGGCCCCGCCCTTGGCCAGTGGCTACAGGCAGCCGATGTGGCACCAGGCGGGCAGCGAATTCTGGCTCTCATCTGGACAGGATTCTAAGAAGACACTTGCTAGGACATGGAGACACATTACCTCCAGGAGGCTTCCCAGGGGCATTTTGAGAAATCCCAGCCCTGCAAAAACACTGTTCTGGGGGCTGGAGTGATAGCACAGCTGGTAGGGCGTTTGCCTTGCACGAGGCCGACCCGGGTTCGATTCCCAGTATCCCATATGGTCCCTCGAGCACCGCCAGGAGTAATTCCTGAGTGCGGAGCCAGGAGGAACCCCTGAGAATCACTGGGTGTGACCCAAAAACAAAAACAAAAAGAGCCTCAAGAAAGAGACCATGCCCAGCTGCCAGTGTTGCCTCCTCAGGGGCGGAGCCCGTGGCAGGCCCCACGGAGAACAGACCCAGCAACCGCTTCCTTACCCTTTTGGTGAGACCTCTGGGACTCTTGGAACCGACGATCTTGGAATCTATGTTCTTGCATGGGAGCGTCTCTTGCTTTGGAACAGTGCCTACAGCAGAGCAAGAGGAGAGAAACGGACATGAGTGACAGCACAAGCCAAGGGCCGCTGAGCATGCTGGGAGCTGCCGGAGGACGCTCATTCGCCTCACGAGATCTCACTCCTGTGGCCCATTTGGACAGATGGAGCCACAGAGGCAGCCCCGTGTCACTGCAGCCTGGACTCTGAGACCAGGCCGGGACAAGTGCACGGTCTGCGTTTCAGGGGGCTGCTTCCTCCAGCCCCATCTGCTGCATCATCCCCAGAAGATACTCAGGGGTGCCCCCTGCACGGGGAAGGAGCATGAGGCAGCCCTAAGGAGCAAGCTCTGACTTAAGAAATCACCTTGGGGCTGGAGCGATAGCACAGCGGGGAGGGCGTTTGCCTTGCACACAGCCGACCCGGGTTCAATTCCCAGCATCCCATAGGGTCCCCCGAGCACCACCAGGAGTCATTCCTAAGTGCATGAGCCAGGAGTAACCCCTGTGCATCGCCGGGTGTGACCCAAAAAGCAAAAAAAATCACCCTTACAATGAAGGCATACTTCATAGTATTGTACATTGGATGTGCATGGTATATTACAAAGTATCACTGTTACTGTCCTCCCATTGTTCATCAATTTGCTCAAGCAGGGCCCAGTAACGTCTCCATTGTGAAACTTGTTGTTACTGTGTTTTGGCATATTGTCATGGGTAGCTTGCCAGGCTTTGTCACGGGTAGCTTGCCAGGCTTTGCCGTGCAGGCACAATACTCTTGGTAGCTTACTGGGCTCTCTGAGAGGGGCGGAGGAACCGAACCCGGCTCGGCCAGGCTGGCTGCACACAAGGCAAATGCCCTACTGCTGTGCTATCACTCCAGCCATTACAAAGTATATGCATGACATTATGTAGCACAGAGTATATACTTCCTATATAGTGTATATGGGTATTATATACATATGCCCATATTATATGTATATAATATGCATGGTATATTCATGGACTGGAGCGATATTCATGGATGGACCGTGTCAGACAGGTGCAAGTAGGTATACAGTAAATACATGGAACCATAAAGTATGTATTACAAAGTTTATACATTCATGTTTCTATGTAGTATATTATAAAGTATTACATAGTGAGTGATCTCTATTTGATACTGTTCTTCCTTGCTTGCACTGCTTCAAGCAGACAGATTTTTTTCCTTTTTTTGGGGGGGGGGTCACACCTGGCAATGCAAGGGGTTCCTCCTGGCTCTGCACCCAGGAGTTATTCCTGGCGGTGCTCAGGGAACCATATGGGATGCTGGGAATTGAACTCGGGTCAGCTGCGTGCAAGGCAAACGCCCTACCCGCTGTGCTATCTCTCCAGCCTCTCAAGCAGACAGATTTTATTTGTTGTAATTTTTGGTTTGTGGGTCACACTAGGTGGTGCTCAGCGCTTACTCTTAGCTCTGGTTCAGGGATCACTTCAGGCCAGGCTTGGGGGACCACACGTGGTACTGGGTGTTGGAGTACAAGGAGCTTTGGTTTATCAGGTTGCACCCACCACAGTGCTCCCGAGTCACTCCCATTACTTTTATCTTTTCCATCACTCCAGATCCCACTGCCAGGAGCAGAGATACTCTGTAATGGAATACCATCTGTAAGTCCTGAATGAGTCCGAGCCATCATTCCCAAAACTCTTGCAACCTGGGCAGCTGTGACCTCCTCCAAATTTTTGGATCAAGCCAAACTGCATGATTATATTGCGACATTCTTCAGTACTTGCACAAAAGCTATAGCCTACTTCTTGCATGAAATCAGCCAAGGAACTCTCCATCATGGTTTTAGCTACCCCTCCAGAATCAGGCAGGATCCTATCCATTAGAATGTCCCATTTTTCAGGGTATAAAAGTGGTGCAAGCATCACGGGACAGCATTCCTGAGGAAAATCTCTGCGCAGTGTCTTAAGAAAAGCGTCTATCGAGGCTGGAGCGATAGCACAGCGGGTAGGGCGTTTGCCTTGCACGCAGCCAACATGGCCAACACAGGTTCGATTCCCAGCATCCCATACGGTCCCCTGAGCACTGCCAGGAGTGATGCCTGAGTGCATGAGCCAGGAGTAACCCCTGAGCATCACCGGGTGTGACCCAAAAGGCAAACAAAAATAGCGTCTATCTGTTCCTGTCCAACTCCAAAGGCTCCCTTCTGCCCAAAGAGAAGATGGGAGAGGAGGAAGTGTAGGACCTCTATTGCTATATCCTGGACTGGGGATAGAACCCAAATTGGCCACATGCAAAATGGGCGCCTTCCCCACTGTCCTATCACTCCAGTCCCTCAAGAAGTCAGATTTAAGGTTCCTTCACGCAAGGACACAAAGAACTTGATCCAAAAATCTGGATCCCTCCCCAAGAACACCTGAGTTGCTTCAATAGAATCTGTCATTTGGGGCCAGAACAATAATCCAGCAGGGAGGGTGTTTGCCTTGTACACGGTCGACCCAGGTTCGATTCCCAGCATCCCATAGGGTCCCCTGAACACCACCAGGAGTAATTCCTGAGTGCAAAGCCAGGAACAATCCCTGACCATCGCTGGATGCGACCCCCCGCGACCCCCCAAAAAATCTGTCATTTCACCATGGGTTTGCAACCCAACATAAATGGCCGCAAACCTCATCCCTGTGAATACTTCCCGGTAACCGCCAGTCAAATTCAAGGAAGCCCATGAAGTTTCCTGTGCTGGTCTCTGGGGGAGCCCTGGGGCTGCTGTCAGTCTCTATCACACACACACACACACACACACACACACACACACACACACACACAAACTCTCTCTCTCTCTCTCTCTCTCTCTCTCTCTCTCTCTCTCCCTGTAGTTTCCTGTGCTGGCCTCTGGGTGGAGCCACGGGGCTGCTGTCAATCTCCATTGCATTTCTCTCTCTCTCTCTCTCTCTCTCTCTCTCTCCAGGCCAGACTCTTGCCTCTGTCTGCCGAGCCTTCGAGACTTCTCACTCCTGACGCCTTCTCCGACTCAAAAGTCTCAATTGCCTCCAAAACCAAAGGAAACAGGTGTCAGTGGTTGATGCAAACCTTGGAGGGCCCAGGGGCAGGGACCAGGTCACTCCGCCAGGGGTTCTCGAAAGGTCAGGAGCAAAGGTGTGACAGCCCCCATGTCTGCTCCCCAGGTGGCCACTCTCCTCCGACTGCTGCCAGAGGCACCGTCTGCCCCGCCCGCCCTCGCATGCTCCAGGATCCACCTGTGTGAGCACAGAGTTCCGAGTAGGTTGTGATCTGCCCCCAGGGTGACAGGGAGCGAATCTCAGGGAGCTTCCGGGGCCCCTGGAACAATCATTCCAGGGTACTCAATGCATTTCCTTTGCTGTTTTGTTTTGGGGACACACCCGGCTATGCTCAGGGCTTACTCCTGTCTCTGTTCTCTGGGATAATTCCTGGTTGGTGTTCGGAGGACCTTATGGGGTGCCGGGGATTGAACCCGGGGGAACTGCTTGCAAGTGCCCTACCCACTGTACTTTCACTCTGGCCGAATGCTGTGCAAATTCTGCCCTTGCTACTCGGGTTAGCTGTGCTCCTAACACCCTCTAACCCGGAAAGTTTTATTTAGGAAAGACAGTAACTCGGGGCTGAGAGGGGCTGGCCGGGGACAACGAGTGCCCGGGTTTGAGCTCCAGCACCTGGAGCCAACGAGAACAAAGTTGGAAGCCTCTGATGTGCAGCGAGCCTCCCAGTAGACCCACTTCGGGGGCCAGTGCGACAGTACAGCAGGGAGGGCGTTTGCCTTGCACACAGCTCACCCGGGTTGGATCCCCAGCATCCCATACGGTCACCCAGGAACCACTAGGAGGGATCCCTGAGCACAGAGTCAGGAGCAAGCCCTGAGTATTGCTGGGTGTGGCTGAAAGTCCAAAACCCAAAAGCCCATACACTGGCTTCACCCCAGCACCCCCCTCACTCACCAGCCTGCTGACCAAGGGGCTAAGGTCCAGATACCAGTCAGCGAGGGTATGGTTCACCTCACCAATGGAACCCACGATGCACGCTGAGGGCAGGGAGCTAAGGAAACATGGCACAAATGACAACCCAGCACGGCAGGCCCAGCCTGGCTAACGGGCGGCTCTCTCCTCTGCCGGCCTCTTCTCTCAATTCTTAATGTTTCTGTTTTGTTTTAAAGTCACACGGGGGGGGGGGGGGGGCCTGGAGAGATAGCACAGCGGGTGGGGCATTTGCCTTGCACGCAGCTGACCCAGGTTCGATTCCCAGCATCCCATATGGTTCCCTGAGCACCGCCAGGAGTAACTCCTGAGTGCATGAGCCAGGAGTGACCCCTGTGCATCGCCGGGTGTGACCCAAAAAGCAAAAAAAAAAAAACAAAAAACAAAAAACAAAAAACAAAAAAACAAACTTAAAGGCACACGGTGTGTGTGTGTGTGGGGAGGGGGGTTGAGTGATAGCACAGCGGGTAGGGCGTTTGCCTTGCACACGGTTGACCCAGGTTCGATTCCCAGCATCCTATACAGTCCCCTGAGCACCGCCAGGAGTAATTCCTGAGTGCAGAGCCAGGAGGAACCCCTGAGCATCGCCGGGTGTGACCCAAAAAGGAAAAAAAAATAGAACTCTTTGAGGGGGGGGAGCTGGCTGATGGTGCAGGGTGTGGAGCTGCCACTTATCAAGATTCTTTGAGGGGAGGTGGCTCAACTGGGGTTCTTAGCTGTCAGAATCCAGAATCCTTTGGAAAGGAGGGGAGGAGACCCCAGTTTCCTTCTTCACTGGCGTTCACTCCACACCTGTATTCCTTCAACCTGCAGACTCTGCCTAGGCAGATCGTCTGGTCCCAGTGAGCCCTGCCCGCCCCAGGGACTCTCAGAGCATGGGTCATGCCCCCGACACTCGTCAAGCCACATGTCAGGATGGGGTTTAAGAAATGCTGCTGACAGCAGCCGTGCGTGTGGGTGACAGCTGAGGCAGGGAGGTGGCCCGGGATGACGAGGGCCCCCCCCCCACAAAAGG